GCCGGTCTTCTGTGAGGTCGTGGTACGTGGAGGGACCTGCCCATCCATGCAACAGCCATGTCCCTACCACAGTAAAATTAAGAACCATTAGATTTATGTGTGAACGTTGTTCCATCTGTTTTTATGTGAGATGATAGTAAGCGAGCATTAGCCGCTCTGCAGATCCGTTTCCACCATTTAATAAATGGACCCCGATTACATCACTCACCAGACGAAACGCTGTCGCTTAATACTTACACTTCACGCCGGTCTTCTGCGAGGCTGCGGTAAGTCCTGACGCACCTGCTCATTCGTACAGCAGGCAGGGCATCTGCAACATCTGTTTGTCAACTTTCAATAACTGAAAGACTTTTCCTGATAGAAGATGGCCATCGAAATAGGAGTTAATTAATTGTGACTACCACCAACCATAGACAATCACAAAAACAAATCCGATCCGGTGGCAGATGCGTTTCCAACCATCAAGGAGGTCCCAGCTACCACATCAGACGAATAGCAGAAGTATAACTCTTGTCTCTAGTAATAGACGCGGGTTATCTGAGGCAATGGTGTTTCCTGCGTTGAGTCGGTTTACTGCAGTAACAGCAGCAACTGCTGCGTGAATGTATTGCAGTATATGAGGTCTTACTCTGAAACGATGGTTCACAACTATAAGGAGTCAGCGCCATGGCAATTTAGAAATTGTTAATTGCCATTTTTAGTGCTGACTTATAATGTGCTCAACGGCGAAGTAAATCATCGTGTGGAATTCTGTATATGTTAGAAATATTACTACAAAAAATATTTTTTTCGAGCATGAACGCGAAGGTTTGCATATCCTTGATGGGGTAGCGTGTTGGACAATGCCCTAATACCTAAGGAGGCTTTTGCCCAGTGGATCATATTTGTGTAAGCTGTTATATCACTCTTTCTTTTTTCCTTTCTAATTGAATTGTCACGGTAGGCTGTTTTTAATACGAAGGCTATCACACCCATAGTTCTATTTGCGGGCGCGACCTGAAGGAATAAACATTACAGCTGTCTTTTAATAGACCATCCGCTGTGACCGTTCGCGTATCGGTGCGTCGTCTCTGGCAGTCTTGGCAACGTGCAAGTGGCACGCGGAGCGCAGTCTACCTCGTCGATCATACACTCACCGGTGAGTTATGCGGCTAGGGCAGACATTGTAGTGCTCTGCTCTCAGTAGCCGCACTTATGGCCCAGATAAGATTTATGTGTCAGTCTTTACGACATAGACAATGCTATTTCGATGAGCTCATTAACTCAGCGGGCATGAGGGGCTCCTTTGTGATGGAAGGTGGTGAAGCAGGATACTTTGAACTATGGCAGTGGCTTCTGCCCTTGCACGAATGAGCAGGCTCGGTATCAAATAAATGCCTCACAGTAGACCAGCGTGAAGTGGAAGTATCAGAGTAGTGTCATCTAGAGGGGCCCACTTCTATAAGGTTGGCAACGAATACAACCCCTCAGGTGTTCTAGAAGTAGATGGGCGGCGGTAATCACTTAACCTGGGTCGAACCGCCTGCTCGCTTGCCTACATTTCAAATAAATCCTGATGAGTTACCAATGAATGATCCCATGAATTAAATAAGATACCAATGAGTGATATGATCAAAAAGGTACCAATGAATGAAATGATCCTCGAAGTTGCCAAGGTAACAGCCAAGACCCGACGTGACCCGACGACTATTTTGTGTGACCCACATATAGTTGTTTCGTATCTGGGTGTTTGTCCACGTTAAATTTATGTTTGTAAAACGTCCTTACAACACAGGATAGTGTTATCCTAAAGTATAGAATGTTTTTAATAAAGACCAAAAAGACCAATACCCTCAGACATCCAGAGGTATAACTGCAGTTTCGTAGCCAGCTTAAAACGGAATAGACCTTCAGGTAATCACCTCGCCATCCGTGGTATTTCCATCGAGACATCGTCAACATAAGATGTCAAGGCTCTACATCAAAAAGAAGATATACGTGGAAGCTTGAAATGGGATTCGAGCCCGCTGACTCTGTTTTGACGATTTAGTTTCTATTTCATGGCGTAGTTGTCTATCTATTTCATGGCTCGTTCATTTTATCTATTTCATGGGTTTGATTCCTACACGGAACAACTATTTGGGTGACTCACAGGTAATTGTTACGGATATGTAAAACGTTTTACAAGACAGGATAATATTATAATAAAGTTATGACAATTTTTTTAAATGAAGATATAAAAAATTAAACATTTACATTAAGTGGAGTTCACTTTCACTCACACTGCCACTTCAGAGTTAAAAAGACAGTTTTTATTTTTTATTTCTATAATGGTTATAGTTGATTCCGCTGTTATAAACTAACTACAAAGTCGATAGTAGACAATGTAATAGGTTATTGTCACGCAAAAGGAGTGAAAAACCCGCCAAGTGCGAGTTGGAATCGCGGACGAAGGTTTCCGCACCCTTATATATAAAAACGGCACAAAAATCATGTCTGTTGTATGGTAGCGTCTCTTAAATATTTTTTTATTCTGTTTTTGTTATAGCGGCAGCAGAAATACATCACCCGTGAAAATTTCAACTGTCTAACACGGTTCACTATGAGATACAACCTGTTGACAAAGGGACAGACAGACAGTTTTATCCTTTCAAAATCAAAATCAAAATCAAAAATATATTTATTCACATAGACGCTTGCGCGTTCTTATGAAATGTCAAAAATTTTACATAAAAATTAATAAGTTCGTAAGTTACCACCGGTTCGGAAAGCGTACTTTATGTACGGAACCCTAAAAAGAAGCTTTTCAACAAAATTACGTGGACGCAGTATTATAAAATTTAGCACAGTTTATGTTGATATAAGGCGTGCAGACAGCTAAAATTTACGTCAATCATGTGTAGAAACCGACAAACCCGAATGGCATAAGCCTAGTGAGCCTGCCTACGGGACAGAGGGTGTGGGTTCGATACCCACTACTGGAAAAATATTGTGTGACGTATAAAGTGTTTTTCCAGTGTTGATATTATGTATTTATATACAAAAGAAAAGTATGCTTAAATATGTTTATTACTTATCACCCTCAATTCAAGCGTTACTCAGTTGGAAATAGAGAAAGATGTTTAAATGTTTAATTTGGTGACTCCGTGGCGCAGTCGTCAAGGTATTGGCTTCGGCGTCGGGGGTCGTGGGTTTGATTCCCACACGGGACAACTATTTGTGTGACCCACAGATAGTTGTTTCTCATCTGAGTGTTTGTCCACGTGAAATTAATGTATGTAAAACTTTCTTGCAACACAGGATAATGTTATCCTAAAGTGAGGGCCATGTTTAAAAAAAAAAAGAAAAAGTAATATGTGCCTTGAAATATTTATTTTATTAGTTATTAAATAAAGTTTATTTTTAACATTGGTACTGTTAATAACACAATCTTTATTCTACTACCATTAATCTTTACTCTGTGCAACTGACAGAGTAAAGATTAATGGCTAAGAACATTAAAATGTCACTTTACAATGAGTATAAGATTAAAGATCAAATGGGCTAAACTTTTTTTTATGTGACAAGTTGACAAGCGAGCATAGGCGGTTCACCTGTTGTTAAGTGAGTACCATCTGCTACACCCGATGGTTACAGATGCGTTGACAACCTTTTGAAAATTGGGCTCCGGCTACCACACTCACCAGACGCAACGCGAAAGTATTTGTCATACTTCCACTTTACGCCGGTCTTCTGTGAGGTCTCATCAGCCTGCCCATTCGTGCAACAGCCGAGGCTGCTGCGTGGTAACACAGTAACTTTAAAGAATATGCGTACTTTTTGTAACTAGATTAATATTCTAATGTGTTGATATACTCTTCGTTACTCGCTATGGTAACGTGGTTAAGAAAATACTTTCGAAGGGCATAAAAAAAAAACAACATTGTTTGTGTATTAAATAGGTATTTATTAAATTTAATTGCACCTATGACATCGAATTATCTGCGTTTCCTTCTATTAAACGTTAAAAACTAGCATATTGTCAGTATATTAGGCCTCAGTGTTTCCAAGAAGTGTTAAAGCAAAAATATACATATAAAAATCGCGTTACGACGCGACGACGATTGAATAAGACGTGTCTTTGGCTAGGGGGTGAAAATATAACAGAAACAAGCATTTCTAGCACCATCTGGACAATAGAGAAACAAACATAAATATAATTTAATAAAAAAAGTTAACAATAAAAAAAAAAAATGCTATGAATTAACGGAAAGTAACTCTGAAACTTTGTTTCGTAATCGTCTTTTCATCCTCGCCTCCATATCGTAGCGATTCCACAACAAAGGAATAGTCATGTAGACATATGTATATATAAATATATATTCCTTTTACAAGTAGTTAGTGTATACGTACTTAAGTAGTGAAAATACATTGCATTGTAATAATCGATACGCCTTAAAATATTATTTAGACATGTATATAATGCAGGTATGGACGGGACGGAGTTGTGGAGAGTTAAATATATTATATTATATGACGATTTCTACACACCAGTAGCGTCTACAATCGTGTGAGTAGCTTACTACATTTATTATTACAAGTGTAGTAAACATCCCAATGCTGGGAGAACGTATTTGGACGTGGGCTTTCAAGACATAGACCCATCATGCATGCATTGCCAGATTGCAGATATCTTTATCGCCCGAATTTCAACAAGAAAAGTACTGGATTTTGAGCCCTACCGAGCTGCAACCCAAGACTTATCATTCATGTCTCACACTCACTGCCAATGGAAAAAGAGAAGACATTTGATTGTAGAGTAACATGAGAAAATAAAATCTTGGAACTTTAATGGTGAGATTTTATAGTACGGTCATCATACGGCCTTAAGAGTTAAATTTACGTGTATCGTGGTCTTTGCTCTTCTGGTGTGTAGATGCCCTTACATTTAGGATTCATATGGTAACTATTCGTTTCAGAACCCGTTTTATCATGATTAGCAAAACCTTTTTTTTTAACAATTAACCATCTGATAGACTACGATGCAACGCGGATTCGTCGCGTACATAGGTGATTTAGCGCGGACAAACAGACAACAATACTCATATACTGTATACATCACGTTGCAATGCGCGATCGTATTCGCATCCCTTACATAAATCTTAACGTATTACACAAATAAAAATCTAACAAGAATAGAGGTACGATATAGGAATAAACATTTTAGACGTCAACAAAAAAATTATTATTATTTGATAATAATATCCCATAGCTGATACCGAAGTCGCTTAGCGTAAAACCTTAATATGTACACGCGTTAATTAAATTATTACAAAAAGAAACAACAAAATAATTAAAGGCAGAAAAGGCGCGTAAATAAAAAAAATCATTTAACCCATCTTTCGAGTCAATTAAAGAAATCATAACAACCTGGGGTAGGAATAGTAAAATATTAGCAATTAAAAAATATTCTTTCTTAAATCTAAACCTTTTCTGGCTTTACATTTATAGAAAATATCCGAACAAGCCATAAGAATGAAGAGCACGAATAGAAGAAAACATAATTACATGCTAAATCATTCGATTAATTACTGATCCGAAATTATATACAACCAATTTACATCATATTACAATAAGTGCTTATCTCTAATTTATTTCTACAATACATATATTACAATACCAACAGTATTTTAATTATCTTAATAGACGTTACAAAATTTGTAAATACCATGAACTTTTTATTGTCTCAGTCACAAGATGTATGTACGTCAGAAAATATATAATCTGTGTTACATTCTAAATCCCGCCAAAAGTTGGACGAAAATTCACAAACGAAACGGGGAAGAATCTCGAATTAGTATGATAGTTGAAAAGGTCATTTAGTGTCAATGGGTTTGCTTAAAAAAATTAAAAAAAAATAGATTTCGAGACAATTAACATTGGCAGTGATGATTTGAGCTGGAAATAAAAACTAACATTCAGTTCAAGGATTGTAGAACCATTATTTTGAGCGTCATTACTCACAGTGTTTGTCTGTTGAAAGGGACAGTACAATTGAAGCCAATTTATTGGTCACAATTTCAGTGTAATTGACATGTCTGTAAACATCGTGAAGAATGCACTCTTGAACAGTAAACCTGACCACAGCATTTGAGATCACATCTTCGCGGCCGAAATCCGTGTTCAAGGGTGCAATTCTTTTTTCTGTTCATATAAAAAAAATAGTAACCTTAAAACTACCATTGTATATTTATATAAAAGTAAACGGTATAAATCACAATGTAATTTCGCTAACTAGGCTTATACGAGGAGGCGTCACTTAATTAAGTCTAATGCACGATATCACGCGGAGTTCGTTCACCTTTCTGTTTGAGGCTCGATCTGTAACAAGGAAAATGTAAAATTAAATCGACGAAGAAAATAGGCGGAAATGAAACCGCTATATTCGATTTTGCCACTAATGCACAAAACGATGGCACTAAGATCTGATCATTTGACGAGTTTGCGCAATTAAAAAAACTTTAATAAAAACTTATAACTTTATGTATACATATATAAAATATAGCGGCTCATATAACCTAATTGTTTCGCTAAAATATTTCAATATACACACAAAGATATAATTAAAAGCGAGTTAGATACTATAAAATACTCCGTAATTGTTTATGGGAACTCGGTATTAATTTTCAAAACCATATTTAAAGACAACATAAAGCAATTTGAGAAAGTTCTATGCGTCCAGATCATTATAGCAATAGTTATGCTGGGAATTTTTTTGTAATATCAAAAATTGTAGGGATGATGATTTTTTTGGGCGATCGAAGTAATCGACTGCATGAGGAAGGCGTGAAGACGGGAATAATTAAATCACGTCTTAGGGGTCCCTCTGTGTTAATTTAATTAATATGATATAATATTATTTGAAACATGGATTCCTTATTTATTTACGGTAGAGCAGACGTAGAGATAAGCGTCGCGTCTTATAGAGCTAACCACAACATTCAGTTAAGCCTGCTACCACGACTTTAAACCCGAAAAGTGCAGATGTAAACCGCTTATACTTCTCAACGAGTTCGGTTCACTGACTGACAAGCCTAAAGCCAAATTGACAAAAAAGAGTATACCTACGGAGTTTCTTTCGCCTGTTTCTTCTCCGTTAGAGGAACCTTATTACGAAACGGTGGTACATTTAAAAAATGACTATCGATAAATGAAATGTATATTTTTTTATTTCGACGAATAAATGATTTTGATTTTGATTTTGCCTGTCACCATGCACTAGACTCATTGAGATTATGACATAAATGCGAGAGATATATCCAAAAAGCGGGAAATTCCGCCCGCAACTTAAGGGAAAAATCCGTGGCCTGTATAAAGCTTTATTGGGCACAAAGTTTGTGGAAAATTATCCTTGCCCTACTTAAGTAGTCACTTACATATGAATATATCTTTCTCTGATGAATATATCTACTTATATATTTTACCTCTTCATATATCGAGGAGGAAAGTCCGAACGGGCAATCTCTGATATAAACCTAACCCAAAATAGTTTAGACTTAGCGTCTAATTCAGTACAATCGAGCTTTCAAATCCTGGTGCCGATTTATTTTTATGTAATTGCAATTTTATATGCTACATGACCACGTGTTCGAGGAAACCTGCATCTCTAGCAAATAATTTAATAGAATATGTACGTCGAAGATTCATATATCTTCAGTCGTTCAATCCGCAGTATTATCGCGTGCTGAGTCCTGATAGGAGGTCCTAGCCCAGTTATGGACATAATTCATAGAATTTAACCGTGTTAAGGCCACGCAATAGTGTTCGCTGTTGCAAGAATGGGCAGGACCATCCTGGTAAGTACCACGACCTCACAGAAGACCGGCGTAAAGTGGAAGTGTTACACTTCCGCGTTTCGTCTGGTGAGTGAGGTAGCTGGGGCCCACTTTATTTTAAGGTCGCAACGCATCTGCAACCCTGCGGGTGTCGCAAATGCCCATGGGCGGCGGTTATCACTTAACGTCAGGTGAACCGCCAGCTCCTATTTACTCGCATCAAAGAACCCTACTTTACATATCTTTCCATTTTTATAACACACGTAATTAGCTTCCGCGCGAGCTTCCAACTGGTTCGCGAGCGATGCATTCTAGTTTCACAACGGCACTTTCTGTGTTAATGGCGGCTAAAGAAATGCATCGCGCCGTCTGGTCAAGGCCGCGTAGACGAAACTGTTAATTCGCGACCGTTCCAGTTCTGTCGGGCGAGCACGGCTTACGCAAGTGGAATCTCGACTGCGCTCAGTCGAAAGTCATCTTACAATTGCGTAATATGCGTGTGACGCAAGCCACGACTGCAGCCTCCTCGGTCGTTTAAAACTAACCATTAACAGAATTTGTACAGATATAACGCAAGTTTGTCAAGTTTAGGTCTTCGTAAAACAAACGTTGAAACAATAAGGTTTACAGCTTCGAGTTTACGAACTCATCGTCACCGATTATTGCGCTTTCATTTCTCATTCAATATAGATCATGCAGACCCTTGCTGAATCTATGAATTTCCATTAACAACATCATTCACACGATGTGACGCTACCTAGGTGGGATAAGGGCAGGGGAAGAACCGACCCCAACAATTCAGCCGTGGACCCAAACAGCAGCAAATGCCATCGATTCAACGACGTCTGGCCTTCTTTTACACCAAGAGTCAGGTCATTGGTAGCCAACGACACTTGAGCCCGCCTTTCCATAAGTCAATAGTTAGGTCATCGCGAACCAACGTCGCTTGATCCCTTTTCTTTAAGCCCAGAGTCAGGTCACGGCAAGCCAACGACGCTCCAGGCGTCTACCACGCCAAGCGTCAGGTCACAGCGAGCCAACGAAGCTCGAGAAACGACGGTCGAGGCGTCTACCACGCCAAGAGTCAGGTCACAGCGAGCCAACGAAGCTCGAGAAACGATGCTCGAGGCGTCTACCACTCCAAGAGTCAGGTCACAGCGAGCCAACGAAGCTCGACAAACGACGCTCGAGGCGTCCACCACGCCAAGAGTCGGGTCACAGCGAGCCAACGACGCCCGAGCTCTATTACGGCAAGAGGCCAAAGCCGCCTCGCGAGCACAGCCCAAGGCGGCGTCTCGGCACGAGATCGGTTGCGTCACCAGCGCGGAAGTCGCCGGCCGACTTTCGCGCCGCTCACGTAACGCCGAATTCGCGTTGCACAACAGCCACAAGCCCCACAGACCCAATGTCCCACTGCGCTTGCGTCACCGCCTCTCGGCCGGTCGCGAGCGCCCCCTAGAAAGTGGGACGTGTGAAGTGGCAGCCGAATCGGACTAGTGGGGCGGTCTGAACGCGTTATCGTTTCCACGATGTTCGCTCACGTGTGGACAGGCTTTTGCCGAGCCAGGCGTGATTAAAGTATACGGTGGCATCGCCACTTACCATCAGACCGGGAGGCCTGGTGAGTTTCGCACAAGAAAAAAAAACGTATCCAATCTATATGTTCCGCATATTACGCGTTCCCGCCCCTCCATCGTATCATATTCATCACGGTAAATAGGTCAGTAAATTAAACTAGATTTTAGTAGCCAGTGCAAACTTTTTTAAAAACGTTGGCAACGCATTTGCAACCGATCAGGTGTTTGATGTCCATAGGTGGCTGTAATCAACATCAGATGAACTGTTTGTTTACTAGCTTTTAAAATAAAAAAAAATGCACGTGTTATACTGGTCAGTTGGTTTCACCTGAAAGTAAGATGCAAAGCTTATAATTTTGATATTACATCCGACTTTTGCCCAGTAGATAGACAGCAAGGTTGGTAAGCATGAGGCAGGCAATTGAACGGAATATAGACAGGAACCTTCTTATACAACGGATTTAAAACTGAAAAAGCAATTATCGGGAAGTTTTTACCAATCTTATCTTACTACGACTAAATCATTATAATACGACAAGCATTTGTCGGTCTGTATACACCAAATAATGTTATTTAAATGAGCTAAGTCGAAAGTAAAGCTTGTGTTCTCGATTTGGCAACACTGTGGGACTCGATAGCAGGATGTTACGTTAAGAATCCGCCTTAAGATGAGGGTAAGGCGAGGCGGAGCTCGTGCGAAATTTTCGACGGATGTGATCATTGGAGCTATCGCGAATTGTGTTTGAAAAGTGCGATTTGAGAATACATAATTAATTATAATTGTGGTGTTAGATGAAATATGAAATAAATTATTAATATATAACGTCGGAATCGACGCAAAGTTAACCGCAATCCGACGGCATACCTGCATACATGTCTTTTAAGAGGTGACGCAATGAAATCTAGCTAAGACAGTTTTATTCCATTGACCCGCTTAATATTACACGCCGGTTAGCTCTCAAATGAGGTAACAGTTTCGAAATGCGCGAAAAAAATAATGCACAAACATGACACTCACTCGCAACTGGGAGATAAGGAAATCGTCGAAAGAACTCGCCCGAGAAATTCGAAATCGTAATCCGCGCGAATGTCACAATTGGAACGATCAAACAAAAAATGCGGCACCAACGCGCCGTACTTGTACTGAACTAACTTAATGTCAAACAAAGCGCGGGAAAAGAGCGTTCTCACGTCTGGCAATCCTAATCGGTAAACAGAGTGCTAATCCGGGGAAGAACCATGGCATTCTTCAGGGTTGGCACAAGGGTGTCCATTTCATTAATCTTAAAGTTTCGTGGTGCGACACGCTCTGTTGCCGATCATGAGAAAGAATTTCGAGGCACGAGGCGGTAACTTTGGTAAAAAGACGACAATTAATACTATTTGACTAGTAGGTAATTAGTATAGTATCATACTATGGCTTCTACATTGAAGTTGGCCATTCAGTGTTTAGACTCCATAGCTCAGTTTCGACTTAGTTGATTTAAGTAAAGTAAAGTAAAGTAACAGACTTAGTTGATTTAAGTGCACGCGAAACATTCAATTTAATTAAATCTTAAATTTTATTACTGCGCCAATAATAAAGTAGTAGCTGGAGGACCGAGCTTTGCTCGGTTTTTTTTTTGGTAAATCATTTATTTTGGAAATAAAAAAAATAAAGAAAATGATATAGAAAAAAAATAGTATAGAAAAAAAAGTAAAAAAAATAAGTGTGTAAATAAATGATCGTGATACGAACCGCAGCCGTCTGTTTTGGGGCCGCCGGATTACCGACCGAGCTACTATAACATTTTTTTTTGCGTCGAAATTTACTGTCATATTCGAATGATATTTTTCATTCCCTGAAAACAGGGATAAAATGACATTTTCTAAAAATGAAACCTAGCCAGATCGATTTTTCGCACCCGAATCTACGCACATACTAAATTTCATGAAAATCGCTGGAGCCGTTTCCGAGATTCCGATTATATATATATAAAAGAATTGCTCGTTTATATATATATATATATATAATTTATATATAACTGATAAAACCTAAATCTAACAATCACACAACGTTAGAATAGCTTTGCTGTTAAAAGTGGTTACGTAAAATAGTAAAAATCACGTACTGACATACACGAGTACGCGGCACAATGAAATCAATGTAAAACTAAAAACAAACGCATCCATCAAATACGATCTGATGATAACGTTAAAGCAACAATTAACTTTAATAGAGCAACTAAGAGTAGATAGGTTGGACGCACGCACACTACGCACTACTTCGGCGCAGCGAGTAGAACGGGTAAGTCGTAAAAAAATCACAGAGCGGGGTCGTTGAACCGCGGGCACCCGAAACGCGATGCACTCGCCGCTGCACTATGGCGGGAAAAGGGCTCGGATGTTTTTGACGCGTTCGAAAAAAAAAAAGATCGAACGCGGATAAGGTTGCCAGTGAACAAAATGTTTGTTCGTAACGTTTCAGTATGTAGAGCATAAATTGTTTTCTTAAATATTAAAATGTTTCGATAATTATTGACGTGGAAATAATGTGACGTGTATTAATAAAACTACTTATGACAGTAAATGTTTCCGAATCAGCATTGTCAGCTTTCAAGCTTGAAGTTCGTAAAAGAATGATCACGCAATGTGAGATGCACTTGAAAATTCTCAAATTAATAATAAACCATAACTTTATTAAGTGTATACGTGAATAGTAAATTAATATTTTATTACTATCTATATTATAAAGATAGAAGTAATAGAAAAAGTGGGTTACAATAGTTATTAGCGTAAGAAAAACAATTTGTGACCAAATGAACTACCAGTAACTAGTTTCGAAATAAAACGGTTACATAAATGAATTCGAATTGAGCACTATTACTTAACCCAGTCAAGTTAAAGAGTACAATACTTTTATATTCATAAAAAAGTTCACAAGTCACATTTAAGGCCATGTGATAGAAACCGCGCAATTCTAACGAACTTTCAGTGTTGTAATGGCCTTTAGAGTTACATAACGATGTTGTGCTGAATAAAACTTTGACCGTAAAGACATTTACATCAAACCGGAACAGGCCGAAGACAACGTTATCGAATCATAAAAATAAAAAATAATCCGAAAAGACGTAAGTGTCGAGGATTATTAAAAAAAAACATGACATTGCCCGTTTTAGTGACGACCGCGTATCGCAAGTGCGCTCCGCGGTGACGTAACGTGGTCCTAAATGTGGGCCAAATTAAAAAAAAAATGGCCACACCCACACGAGGACGCTCACTCACACGCGCGCGCAGTGAAAGTGCGCCGGCGTGTGAACAGCGTTAAGCGCGTTGTTTATCACACGACATCCGCCCGCGCCGCGGTGCGGACGTGTCAACAGTCAAACGCCTTTGTCCAGACTTTACGGAACGCATCCTATAATATCAAAGCCTTTAAAATAAATTCAGAACGTCGGTTTAAAAAAATTGCGATGCAATTAAATATAGACTCAACTACAAAAATTTATTAGTTATTGTAACGATAGAATAACATATATATATATATATATATATATATATATATATATATACTTAAACTGTTTGAAACTCAGTCTCCACTGTGACTTTTGTGGACGAAAATTTTAACTGTCAATGATTTCTTTCATCACCACATTATTCCCATTAAATTTGGTGGATTCATATTAAAATTGCCGATACACATACAACAATTTCGATATATCAACTCGTTCTTACCACGTACGGAAATATCGGCAGCATTGAATGGGGATCTGTAATGATAGTAGCTTAGACAGTCCAACTCTCCTGTTCTCAGCATCTACCTTGACCCGCTGAGATAGAGGGCACCCAGCGTGGGCTGTGACAGTGTTCAATTCGGCATAAAGCCAAGAGTGACTAAGCTACTGTTATAATTTCCATAGAGACGCTAGACATTTAGTCGTGGCAAAGATCACTTATTGGTAGAGTCGCAGTTGATTGAAAATCTTCAAAAGCTTTGTGAAACAAGAAATTCCTATGTTCTAGGATACTAGTTGCAGCTCGCGGCTTCGGTTGTAAGGATTTCCTTGGTGCGTAAATCATCGGTGGGCTTTATCATTGCTATTATATTATAGCATTGCACTATCACGATTTACAAAATCATAATAGTCTCTTGCTCCGTCATTATGTGCAGAAAATACAAACATATAAAACACAAGATTTGCATTTCAAATATAATTAGAAATGTATTAGTACTTAGGTAAAGATAATCTATGGTATTACTTATTCTATAAAATCAAATAATTCTGATACAAAACGTTATCAAAATATAGATTAAAGTTTGCCTGAATGTCGTTATAATGTTATAATCTACCACCATTTCATAAATTTGACATATCCTTAAGAACCAAAAATATACTTCGATGTTCAATCTCTTTTAATATTTCTTGCAATATGAGATAGAATAAAATATAACATATTTTATACATATAGAAATAATATTAGATTTAAAAATTAACACTTGCTTTACTAAGTAATTGAATCGTGAATTTACTATTAATCCAATATTACTTGTGTTAGTTTAAAATAACCTAAGATTATTGCAAATTATTCTTATGTACTTCAAGCTCTGTGCTCGTGATCTCATCATTTGAACCCTATTTCTTTCCCAGAGCGTAGGATGAAAGGTTGTGAATCATTGTTTATCTATGAAACTTGTTTTTATCTAAACGCGGGACAACCCTTATCGTGCTAAAGTCATTCAATGATGATACAAGTCTTCAAAAGTGTGAAGAGAGCAAGAAATGGAAATAAGAAACATGATAGAAGCTACTTGATAGATTGCAATATATTGTTTTTATGTTATTTCTACTATGTAACACCCAGAGAGTTAGTAAATTAGGTTGATTTTGTAAACTTATTTTTAATAAAACATCGACCATTACTAAACGAAGATTTTTTACGGATTTTAATTGTCTATGGCCAAATGAAGTACCAATAACTAGTTTCGGAATAGAATAGTTACATAAATCAATTTGAATCGAGTACTATGACTTAACTCAGTCAAGTTAAAGAGTACTTTACCCTTATATTCATAAAAAAGTTCGCGAGTCACATTTAAGGCCATGTGATATGAGAACCGTGAGGAAAAGAAATATTATTTGTCATACTAAATGAGTTATATCAAAAGGAGTTAGACGTAGAGTCTTAAACAAACAAGTAACTCCTCCGAAATAACTCATTCACTACTATTAATAGCAATTTTAACCGAAGGGTCTACATAAAAGATATGAGAGATACAGAAATGATTTAAATAGACACCAATAAAAGTGTAGGCAGTCAGCCACTATTATCTTCGTATACCAATTATTCACCTTATAAATATGCAAATCGCTGAGTCAACTCCAAATAATATGTATCTCTTTCAAAATATTGTTTTCAATATATAAGGTGTTCCCCGGTGTATATAATATTACTTAAAAAATTCTAACGGTTAGCTTAAACTAATTTACGGAGTAAATTATTTTTATTTAAACATATTATAATCGCGTAAATGGAAGAATTAAATCATAAAATATTGGGTTAAAAATTGCATATTCCTACATGTACGAATATATTTAATTAGAATTTAATTACACATAATTGTGTTTTAAACTTCACAATAAATTTTATGGCGAAATAATTAAGACGATATTGTATGTTAGTGGTTATATAAATACACGAATATCATTTTATTTGTATTCATTGTATTTTATTTTGTTTATAAATAATGAAATGCTTTTATTTACGTACAGTATAACATATACTGTACGTAAATAAAAGCTATATAATTTACGATAACTTAGTAGGTCGGTAACGGTACCTAAAGTATGACTTAATGATTGTATTCAGTTTAAATTGATTCTTATGAAAGAAAACATATCCTATAGTACACTTACTCAAATAGTTTTACTGTCAAATACTCTTTACTATTATAGTGGTTGGCGCCTTTTTTTTCTATTATTTTCAAACATTTACCTTACTGTAGGAGAAAACTATCCTATGTTGTAGGGACGTTTTACACCCAGATCCTTAAAAAATTGCTTTGGGCCACACAAATACGAGTGAATTGTCCCGTGTGAGAATCAAACGCACGACCACCGGCGCTGAAGCCAATACCAGGGCAACTGCGCCACGTGGTCACTGACTAAGCTGGTCACCCTATGGAGATGAAGGGACGCTCAAGAAATCTCACAACACCAGAAATGATGCACGCGAACCAGCTGTAGAGTAAGTTCTCGAATCTCACTTTGCTAAATAATTCCTCATAGACCTCCCAGGACTTTTCGTTCGAGAAGCAAGACTTCGTAATCTTGCTTCTTATGTATCTGTTGTGATTAGACCGTGAATAGGTAGGGAATTTATCTGTGGTAGGGCCACGTAACTGTGGTTGGGCCACGTAGCAGCCTCGGCTGTTGCACGAATGGGCAGGCTCGTCCGGGTAAGTACCACGACCTCACCTGAAAGTATGACAAATACTTTCGCGTTTCGTCTGGTGAGTGAGGTAGCTGGAGCCCAATTTTCAAAAGGTTGTCAACGCATCTGTAACCCTCGGGCGTAGCAGATGTCCATGGGCGGCTGTATTCACTTAACATCACTCGCTGTTCAACTTTTCACATAAAAAATAAACATGTCTTATTCTTCTTTAAGCCGGAGTGAAACGTCTGTTGCGGATCCCACAATCTATACATGGATAAAACTGGGCTGAGACAATCTATCAGATATGTTTATTTGTTTGTCCAGCACTTCGATATCGGATTTGTGTCAGCGTATCGACGTGTGGCCTAAATACTTTGATTACGTCTGTGGACATTGGCGTACTCTTTAATCTGTGGTCGGTGATGTCTTTAATCTGTAAAAAGTACTATCGAATAGTTACAGGGATTTTTTTCACTTAATCGAACACATAGTTAGTTGAGAGTGAGTGAGTACATAGTTGAAATGCACTGTTGATACCAAAATTTTTAAGTATCACAGGAAAAGTTCTGTAAGTTAATTAGTAATAAGCTCCGAGGACGAATTTTTTTAATGTCAAAAGTTATCAGCGAGCAGACGGTTGAACTGATGTTAAGTGAATACCGCCGCCCATGGACATCTGCTACGTAGCATACTGCAGATGCGTTGACAACCCTTTGGAAATTGGGCTCCAGCCATCTCACTCACCAGACGAAAGTATTAAACTCCACTTTACGCCGGTCTTCTGTGCGGTCATGGTGCTTACCCGGACGAGCCTGCCCATCTGCAACAGCCGGGGCTGCTGCGTGGGCCTACCACCGCAAACCGGATGAAATTATGTTTATTATGTTACTAAAGCTAATGTCTGGCTGATTGAATGACATTTTCGGGCATTTGAATACGTCTCGTGTCCAGTTCATAATATAACTTCTATATCTACCTAAATATTAACGTCACAATGTTAATCAGACCGCTGATTCATCTTTAAAAGTGATATATTTAACAAGACACATCAACATGAAATTCTCACGGAAAGAAAGTTGCGAAAACCTTTCATAAATCCTTCGTAAAATTTTCAACGATTGTCTGCAGTTATTGTAGAGTCATTCGATAGAGTCTAACATCATAATCAGAAAAACATAAACTTTTCCGAGTCCATGTTTTATGATGAAACAAATAGTCAAACTGTTGTAACTATATATGCAACAGCAGATTTTGCTATCACATCATCTGCTACCAATGGGCTTTGCAGGTATCCATGGCCGGTGGTTTTCATTTAACATCAGGTGAACCGCCAGCCCGCTTGCCACCGTCTCACATTATTCTCCTGCCTTTGTCATACACTAGCTGGGGTCGCTACACGACCTTCTACTTTACTCTATCAGCCGCCACCTCACTACTCACCTCTTACACAAACATCGTCTTCACACAGTCTATTCAAATCCCTCTATTCATCCAAACTCATCACATGACTTTCTCTTCTCGTCTCCCTTATTAAAAGCCACTTTCTCGCATATAAAACCTCTAAAGGCTTGCAACATACCACAATCGAGCGCACCACAGGCCACGTGCCCAGGGATCGACGTAATTTCGCGAACCGCAAAGTCCTTTATAATCGGCGCCGAAGTTTTTACAGCAGCCGTAGGCCGAAGCACCAGAAGTGCCGATTTATTTGCGGCCCCCTCAGTTTCGAAACGGCGTCTCGTTCCGTTGTTTATTGTATTTCTCGCCGCCCCTTTACGCCCAGCTCGGGTCTGACCTAACATTAGCCGTATTAGGAGCGCGGTACCGAGAAGCAGGTGCACAATGTACTTAGGACGACAACGTCCTAAGTAAATTAGGTATTATATGCTATATACAAACATCTTTTTTTTATGGGAAAAGTTGCTAAGCGAGTAGACGGTTCACCTGATGTTAAGTGAATACAGCCACCCATGCACATCTGCTGCACCGAGGGTTACAGATGCGTTGATAACCTTTTGAAAATTGGGCCATTGACAACCTTTTATAAGTTAGCTCATTAAAATATACGACCTTTGGGACGTGATCAATATACTCTGATAAGATTATTAATCTCATCATTTTTAATATGAGATCCATATATATTTTACGTAATCATCATGGTGAGTACAAATTCTGCTTGCGTATGTTTTGGCTACAACAACTTGAATACTGCCGTTGTTTGACTTTAAGAGTCTTAATGAAACGGAGAAGCTTCTTTTATGTGAAAAGTGCGCAAGCGAGCAGGAGATTTAAGTGATTATCGCCACCCATGGACATTTTCAATACTCAATCCCTTATATCTTCCATATCTATTATAATCTTCCTAAACCCTACAAGTTGCGTTGACAATCTTTGAAAAAGTGGGCCCCGGACCATTGAAAGGCAAACTCACCACATGAACCGCTGAAGTATGATACCTACACTTCACACCGGTCAACTGTGAGACCATTGCCCATCCCCGTACGACACTGTCCATTTGTGCAACAGCAAGAGCTGTTGCGTGGTCCCATCACAGAGAAAAATCCAGTACCACTGACATATACTAACAAAACGACACTCAAGGTAGCACAGCAGGAGGTATATAGAAATTGGCGCCAACATGCTGAAACCTGAAAACTACAAAATCTAGCATCATCCACCTCATCCTGAGCCCACATGGAAAGCCACGCTTCACTATCCCGGCTTCGTGGCTCATACGCGTAAAGCATTCATCAGTTTCCGGACCGAGCTCAATCGGGAATATCGAACGCTCCAGAAGAGTCACAGCGGGGCTTGCGCGAAACTTTTCGCGGGTTGCGTTAGATTTGGCTCACGTTGCGAGGGGCGCGCGGTGTCACGTGGAACGCGACACGCCGGCCGCAACGTGACATCGGTTCAAATCGACCGCGGCCAGGGTCGGTGGAAAGGTTGCACGATTCCCGATCGATACCCTTCTGGAAATAGATTTCTTGGGTAGGCCTCGCAGTTTAATGGACGGGTTCAGTAGAACTGTTCCCATTCTTCTCGATGTTTCAAGGTTAAATGATGTTGCCTTCTGTTACGAGTATTTTGTTTATCGGTCTGTTGATAGTTTGGTTGTTTAGTTGTTTGTCAATTTCTTAGACCTATTTAAGGAGGAAATCCCTGAAGAGTTAATCCACCAGGTCGGATAATTCCCGTGCAGTTTTCTGGGTTGGACTTTGAATTATTTAACTCGCATACCGTTTCGCATTTGATTTAATTTTTTTACGTCTTTAGTTTCTTGCCGATTGTATACCGCTCGTTCTTTGCTATTAGAAGCAAAGACTATCGTGAGAAATAATTGGCGTATCAAGCTCGGGTTTGAAGTTGGATCAGGCCCAAAGTTCAAAACCGCCCACGCCCGTTGCGGTGCAATGTTCGAAGGCGTGGGATCAACAGACCGGTTATCTGTAAACGGTGATCGTTTCGTGTCACATACTACGTTTCATGATGTACTATATCCTAAGCTAACAGCGTTATAACATAACGGATACGTACAACTTGGATTCAATCATGGGTTTTATCGCGTTTAAATCGTCGCTTCTATCCTGTTGCCGTGTTTGTTGTGCTGGCCGAAACGACATAGTAAAGTCTGTGTTGTAGTAATTTGATACATTACGCTCTATATATGTCGCGTCCTTAACTCATATTCTACCCCACGTTAGTAAGTAGTGCATTGCACTGGCTCGGACGACCTTACTCCAACCAACGTTCAAAGCTCCAAAATGAGTCACATTACAGAAGTGCAGCGATTGTACACATTAATCGCTCAACTCCTTGATGCCACCAGGATTAGAACCAGCGACTTAAGCACGCAAGTCCGCCTCTCCAGCCACAAGACCATGTCCACATCGAGATCGTGTGAAATTTAAACAGGATATCTACTCCGATGTAACACATTTTCCACCTCGAAATTAGTCAAATTAGGACCTATCCTTCTGTCATCAGGCATCATATCTCATGAACCGTGATTGTTAGAAAGTTGAAATTTTCACAGATAATGGATTTCTGTTGCCGCCATACGGATCGTATGGAACCGCGAGTCCGACTCGCACTTGGCCGGTTTTTGTCAACAGTCTTGACATTCAAAAGGGCGCGAAAAGTGCTTGAGTGGAGTAAAGAACTTTCAACGTTAACTTTGATAGTTAATACGAGGTTGTGCTTAATTTCAAAGCCACTGTATAATGGTGGCGTATCGTCAGCGTTGTTCCATGGAGCGCGCTAATTAATGTTATCTGTTACACTTTGCACTTGTTTTTCAATCAGCCATTTTAAACGCACAATATTTAATTTTTAATCTCAGCACCCTATTTGCAATTATCACTCTTACTGACGCACCCTAAGGTCGAAAACGGGTCGGCAATTGGAGCAAAGCACACAATCAGCCTTCCTGTATTTTATCGTGCGAGCGCCGCGGAATTATATCATCGTTTCAATGGGGCACATTTTAATTCGTGTAACAGGCCATTATCGAGTCCTGTCTTGGCTAAACTAGGGATGCCAAAATTACTGTTCGACTATGATGTTTATGGTGAATTTAAAGCAATGTTATCATATATAATATGTTTGTTACAGATAGCAAATAGATTTCAGATAGTGTATGCATCAAAACTTATCAATTTCTCTAATTTATGGATTATAACGTAACAGGTCATTTAAATGATATCCAAAATTTGAAAAGGCTGTGCGATGTTAGTTTTCTTTAACTTAAAAGAAAACGATAACTTTACAGTTTTCAGTGTTTTGGGGCATGTTTGTATGGTTACTAGGGTAAGACCTCACAGACAGCTATAATATCTGATGATATAAATTATAACTAGGCATGTTACGATATGTTTTCTATGATTATTATTGATAACTTAATTGTGTAGGGCGATATTCTATATAAGAGCTACGTCTGGCAGGCTATAACGAGCGAAAATGTTCACTAGGAAAAATATAAAAAAAAGATTTAGAAATATTGGACGCTATTATGATATCGTTATAAACTTTAGTAATTAACCATTAACTAAAATAAAAGTATTGTTCGTTACGATTACTTTTTGCTACCCATTTTTTGCAGTTGATTTAAATTTAAGGTGACATGCAAAATATACTTTATTTTTAGAGCGTTAATCTAATTATTTTTTTCATAATATTTGTCAAGTTGTAAATTTTTTCTCTATTTTTAATTTTATTTTGAAAACATTATTTTAATTGACTTTAATTATTTGGTTTGTAACTCTAAAATTGTATTTTCATAATATTCGTTTGAAGATTAAATAAAGCAAAAGCGGGAAAAGAAGCCGCTTGGTTTTGTAGACGGTTTTATACATTTTGAATAATTTAGTTATTTCTCCCTTTTAATTTCTTGAACACTACTGTTTTGCACTAACCATTGAACTGTTGCAAATTACAAAGCATTTGCAAATCTTACTGTCCAAGACACATACAACTATATTGCCAAGAGGTGAATTACGAGCCAATGGACTTTAAGCCTCATTACGACAACGGCAAGAATATCTACATTTAAACTTAACCTAGCACAGATAAAATAAGCTAAATGTCAAAAAAAAATAAGTCAGACATGCAACCTTTTTCGTTTTCGTAGCCGGAAAGCCACGGAACAAAGGGGGATTTGTGTTACTCGCTAATAGATCGCGGGGATTGCGCCGGAGGGGGGAGGGGGGCGGGGGCGTCTCTCATCTGTTACGTCGGACCGCGGGTTGTGCAACCTCGAGGCCGTTCCTCATCGACTCGTACACTTAGCCATTAGAATGGTATTCCGCAAGGCGTCGAAGTAAAGGTGCCTTCGCATATCGCCTGTAGAGGCTGTAGACGTGGATATAAAGGCGCATACACACTAGATCTTTGCCGAGAGGAAAGATAAGGGTGCTTACACATTCTTTTCCGCGATGCATGTAGGGTAACCCCCCATATTTAAGAGCTTTATCTTCACACGTTTTTGACGTTCCATTAGTGGCATGATAAAAGTTCTGAACTTTTATCATCTTATGTATATGAACGTGTATTATTATACATTTTAGGTCTTTGCGGGTGTAATAATGTCCTCACCTATTTTGTATGTTTGCCGCGAGACATGACGGATGTGCCTACACAATTCTAAATCTTTGCCGAATCGTAGTAAATGTGTTCATACTGATTACGAGCTGTGATAGCTCAGTGTCCGGGCGCTCGGTTTCAATTCAATATGCTCGAGCAACCCGAGTTCAATTCACGTTGAAGACACCTATGAAATTGTTAATTACGATTTTACGTGCTGTGCTTACGGCTTGGCGGTGCATATTTTCGAAATAATAATAGAACAAATATTTCGAAGATATGTAACTCCGTCAAACCGCAGTGGGGTCGCGTGGTAGACTCTGCCGTTATACCTCTGTACTAGCAGTGGACATAAAGGTATATAATAGTGAGACATATAGGTATTTTAACTTTACTTATAACGCCTTCGCTTATAATAGATAGTTTGGAGGGCATCCAAATTATTTACGACAGAGTCTCTCTTTCGACTTTGATAAATCCACAGACTATTATAATCAAACCATAAGCAAACAGGATCAGCAGGAAAGCGTAGATTCCGTTCGGTGTTACGCAAGGATGTAGGTAGGCGCGTCGCCGATTTCCCCAATGTAAGGCGGCGGTCACTTTCGAACGGCCCGTGCTGCGCCCGCGACGGCTTTATGCAGGAGCGTGGCACGACCCGCGGAAATTGTCAGTTCCGCGGAAAACTTGCGGCGCCCCAGTTGCGAGGAACTTGTCGATTCCGCGGAAAGCGGCATTTCCGGCGCCCTCTGCTGCGGAAGTGCACTAATCTAGCATTATTCTACAGTGGACCCGCGGGAATCAACACCCGCGGAAACTGTCACTTCCACGCTTCTCACATGCGGTAGAGGAATATCCGAGAATGAGGTATTACTTTCAGAAGTCACGATAACAAATAATAAGCTTTATTTTGAATCTTTGGTTATAAAGAAAAGTCGATCATGATCTTCAAATCTTTCGACCCGTGTTCAAATCCTGAACATTTACAAACGGACGAATTTCCAATTAATTTGGTAAGATTACCCTTAGGAAAAGACAAAATGATGAAAGAAAGGGACCGAAGTCTAGTACAACTTGTATATAATTCACATTTAGAAAGATTAAGTTGAAACGTTTTAAAAACACCATAAAGGCGTGACAGTATTTAATGAGACATCGCTTTTTACAATTGAAACGTATAACTTATAAAATGAGCACGTGAATTTATATAAATTAAATTTTATTATAGCTCGGATTTTTACGTTGGCAATCATACGGTGACAGGACTGGATAGTGACGTTAATTTAAGTTTTGTTTAAAAAGGGACAGCTATATAATAGAAAGAGTTAGTTGAAGTAAATCATTCATTTCATTCATTATCATTGGTTATATAGTGATTAGCTAATTTTTCTTGAACAAACCTTCCAGAAACCCAAGGCAGTTTAACAAGAGATTAACAGCTGATCATTTTTGACATAGTGTTATGTGATTGCTGCTTTGATTGGCCTTTCGGAAACTGGGCATTAGACCTGCGAATCTCAATGTTTAATCATAAGTGCAAAAAAAAATCTACCCACCATCACCTGATGGTAGTCCGAAACGAAGATTACTCAAAAAGATACAACTGCCCGCGTACTTGCGAACTGCCTCCGGGCCGCATAACACCGTCCAAAAACACAAAAGGCATATCAACGAAAATAAGTGAAAGTTCACGCGTGCGCCGACCACGCGGCGATCTGGTCCGGTTAGCAGGCATCGGGTTTGCAGCTTTATGTTCATAACCTCGCGTTCCGCCGCGGTGTTGATACATAAGTCAATTGTTAACCAAACCGGCCAAGTGCGAGCCGGAATGGCGCACAGTGGGTTCCGTACCATTATCTATAAAAACGCAAATCACGTCTGTTGTATTAAGAGCCCCGCATAGACAGTTTCTATTCTGTTTTTTGGTATTTATTGTTATAGCGGCAACAGAAATACATCATCTTTGAAAATTTCAACTGTCTAAGTACCTATCACGATTCATGGGATACAGCTTGGTGACAGACGTGCAGACAGACTGGCAGACAGCGGAGTCTTAGTAATATCCTCCCGGCTTAACCTTTGGGTACGGAACCCTAAAAACAAAGCCATCGATTATCTCACTATATATTTTCCATTTGATTTTCAGGTGTTCCCTGATTTATTTTTCTTCCTTCTATTTCCGGAATCCAAGATTCAAATTAATATGGAACCAAGTTGGGCGTTAACCGAAAAGAAAATCATTTTATTGTTGTTACAATAATGAAAAAGAATCTATATCCAAACTTTGAACATTGAAGACATATATTATACATAGCGCCTTTGGCACAATCGCTAAGCTTCTTCTGTAAGGTAGTGGGTTCGAAGCCCTCGCAACAACATTTATAAACACGATATTGCCTTGTCTATTAATTTTTTTTTAATATGTGCATGAGCAACATGTAATATATGTTGCATGTAATATAGTAGTTTTTGGTTAAAATAAAGAAGTTTGAAAAAAATAGAAAATAGTATTGGCTTCAGGGCCGTGGTGCGTGGGTTCGATTCCCACACGTATATGTGTGGCCTACAGATAATTGTTTCAGATCTGGGTGTTGTTCCAGGTGTTAAGTTACATATTTAAAGTCATATTTTTTTTTGAAAAATTTAGTTTAAAACATTATCGTTATTTTAGGATACCATTATCGTGGTTTTGTGAGGATGTTTTATGATCATACACACCACGTGGACACACACCCAAATGCGAAATAATTATCTTTTGGTCACACAAATAGTCGTCCCGTGTAGGAATCGAACCCACAACCGAAGCAAATACCTTGGCGACTGCGCCACGGAGTCCCCTACTTTTGTTTTTTAATAAAAATGTACATACTGTATACAGTCATAGATAGGCGAAGTTACTGTCAATTTTTTTTTGTTAATTTATTTAACATATAGCTCTTGAGTTTATCGGGATAGCCTGTGTGCTTTATTTTAATACAAAAAAAAATATCTCCACAGTTTCCTGAAAGCAATAGACTTTTCGAAGGCAATAGACAATGCCAGTATCGCTTCTAAACCTAATTCTAGAGGCTCCGTCACGTTTGTCAGTGTATGACTCCTTATACTTTCTCCTAAAACATTTTATCTTTTGGACCGAGAGGCCTCTGGGGTCGGCCTTACGTCGACAAAGACGTAATGCACGTCTTTATAGAAGTGGAGGCTTTTACCGCAGTAGGGCGGGCATTTACCGCCTACGTACATCACTAGTTCCCGACGGTAAATAGTGACGCGACAGTATTGTGTTTACCAATAATTGGTAAACGAAACATCCAATTTAACAGCGAACTGTTGCCCGAAAATCTCGACACAGATGAGGTTTAGGATGGAGCTATAATTGATATGTGATATATTGTAATTTAATATTTAAACGAGACGTAATATTACGTTACCGCGATAAAAAAATCTTAAGAAAACTATTATAAATAAATGAATGGCTTTCAGTCGAGTAAAGTTCTGAAACTATCTGATTAGGAATAAAGAAATTTGTAGAAAGATTAAAAAATGTGTATCATTACGAAACAAGTGACACAATGATATCTTTATCTAAATCAACAAAGTCACGAAACACTACGAAGTATATTTTAAAGAAACGTCACATGTGGGCGCAGGATGATAAACCCAAATTTGAAATTAAAAATGGCGGCCGAAAAAAGTTTCACCATTGTTCCATAAACGCGCCAAAGGTAAAATAGTTAAAATCAACAACTCGGACGCTTGGAAACCGGTAAGTGGGGCAGCCGAGGCGAAAATTTCGACGCGCCCACGCGATTTAGCACCGAACAACCATTGAAACAGAGTCAAAATTCAAGCGGGGCTTCGGGCAGCGAAAATGAAAGTCATAGCGGCGTTTTGCACAAACGAATTTGAATACCGAATTCGCAGTTCACTTTTCGAAATGTTTTTTTTTTCTCCGTTGGCAACAACAAGGAGCTTGCAGCCCTTCGAAATGAAAACAAACTTTTTCTTGAAATAATAGAACGAACAGGATCAAACGTTTTTCGTGTAACTTGTACAGTTAATTAAAAATTAAGTTTAAAACCATACAAATCGGGTTTGAAGTAAAACTCAATATTTTCGTTTTAACATTCGCTGGTTAAAATGTTGTACAACAAATTTTATTCATTTGTGTGGCTGCTATTAGTAAACTCTGTTTTCCTTAAGCTTTGAAGTTAGCAGCATTAGATAAAAGTAACGGTGGAAAGGCAGAGTAAGAAAAAGGTATGACAGAGATGACAAAACATAAAAAATAGCAAGTCTCATTAAAATCATTCGAATATAAAATAACATATCTCGTATTTATAAATACATTAAAATAGAATGTTATAATAAACCGCAAAAGTGATTTGCTTGCTATATAGTAAGCGCAAAACATTCCATCCAACCTACCTATATCAGATCTAGAAATAAAAAAAAATGTACAGATGATAAAATGTAATAAATAAATTTTATTATGCATATATTACAAAAAAAATATAAACAAAGTACGATTACCATTTTGTTTTAGTCGACATAATTTTCTTGTTTCACTCTATACATTAAGAAGTTATAGTATTTTATACTTTATTACCTATGATATAAGTATCAAATTGTTGTCAGCACGCATCGATGCGCATGCAGTCACGTTGTCAGCTTTTGTGACCCTTGTCTATTCAAATGATTGACGAACTTACTCCCTTACAATAAGAGCTATTTACGTTATAATGGTAATTTCTATGAGATAAATAGCGAATGATAATAATAGAAACCCAATAAAAATATAGTTCAGAAGGAACATAAAGAGTACATAGATAAGTTATAACCTTCCTAAAAATAAATATGAAAAGGTCAAACTTGAAGAAAAATTACAAGAGAAATTTCTATTTCTCCTGTAATTTTTCTTCAAGTTAATTACTTAGCTATTCTTAGCTAAGTAATTAACATTTAATTCATTAATATCTCCTTCTTTAAACCTTGCAATATGTTACTTTGTTTCGTTTTCAGAACTAAAAATAACAAAAAGATTACTTCATTTACGTCCGTTTTATGACTATCTGAACTCGTTTTTTAATTGTGACTTTAAAAACTATGTCCCAATTGCGATGTGTACGCTACTTAGAATGCGCATAATTTATTTTATAACCGATTTCATCTGTTCTTAATAATTATTAAAGAATTGATCCAAACGCATCTTGCAGTATGTAAACAAAAAAAAAATTAGCAACTTCTTCAATTGGTGTTTTTTAATCCATACTAATATTATAAATGCGAAAGTAACTCTGTATGTCTGTCTCGCGTTCACGCTAAAACTGCTTAACCGATTTGAATGAATTTTGGTATACAATGTCTAGAGCCTAGGCATTGTATACCCAAATTCAAATTATCTAGGGACATAAGCTATGTTTTAATTGGAAAATAACTTTAATTAATATATTATTATTTTAATTATTATTTATTATGATATTTATTTAAGGGCTTCAACGCGAGCGAAGCCGCTGGCGAAAAGCTAGTTGTATTATAAAAGTCAAAACATTTTTTTCAAACCACGTTCTTGTAAGAATCATTTAAAAAAAATAGCGATGCGTCCATAAATAAATTGTACATTTTTCATGAAATTAAACAGTTTTAGGCCCACGGTTTTACATGTTACAATTGAATTATACTGCACGCGTCTGTCAGATGAAGGGGTAAGCAGAAATATGCGTATTGCATACCCAATCTATCTATGCTCTCCCGCTTCATACAAATACAAATTACTTTATTTCCAAAATATTTGTACACTAGCTCCTGCCCGCGACTATGTCTGCGTAGAATAGCGTGAAGGCGTAAGATTCAAACAGAAAGACATACATCAAATATGTATATACATTGTAGCCTATGTCTTATTCTGATATAAAAAGTAAAGTTGTAAAGTTTCATTAAAATCCATTTAGTAGTATTTGTTTCAAAGAGTAACAAACATCCATCCATACACACAAACTTTCGCCTTTATAATATTTGTAAGGATATAGTAAGATAGTAGTTGCCTTAACAACTGACCCCCACCTGTCCTATGGGAGATAATGACGAGTAATTCGATCATTCGTGTATACATATTATATACAGCGTGTCGTTACCATCGCGACAATAAATGAACACACGTCTAACGCTACTTGCCAATAATCATAAAAAATATTAACGTTAAACAAAATCCATAATTAAAAAATAAATATTTTTCAAATAAACTAATTAAGTAAAAAAGATAAATTTGATACATCCTATACAACTCGCGCCACAGCGTCGCATTAAAAGCCTCTCCTTCTAACAGTATGTTTTGTCTCTTTTAAATTCATTCAACCCATTCATATACATTGTGACCTTTACAAATGAACTTAACGTTACAGTTTTATACGTAAGGGTGTTCTAAAATTCTTTGTTTCGGAAAATTTAATAACTCTAAATATTGATGTTTAAAGAATGTAAATTTTTAATACAATTTTAAAAAGTTATCCCCTATATGTGTGTTCATTTATTGTCGCGATTGTAAAGACACGCTGTATATGTATACATGTTAATTACAATGAATTTTTCATTTATGGGGTAGACACAGGCAACGCTCGACTCGACCCAGATTTGTGATAGAACGAAATTGAAAGCACCCAACTCAACATTCAGTCGAAGACTTTCAGAGTTATGGCACCCAGGAAAAATATTTATGGGATTTTGTAAAATGGTAATTAGCTCTCATAATTAGCTCTCAATAAGGGTAGGCTTACGCGCCCACAGACTGGACTCGGATCAGTAATTAACTGCCATTCAATCGGTTCATTCGCTAAGTCAGGCCTTGGAGAATTAATGATTCTTGTACATAGTTAAATAAAACTATAGTTTCGATAAAAACTAAATCTAAAAACCTTAAAACAGTCTAATTAATTCTTCATCATCATCATCATTTCAGCCGGTTCGAGTCCACTGTTGGACATAGGCCTCCCCCACGGACTGCCACGAAGCACGATCCTGAGCCACCTGCATCCGTTGTCTTCTCGCACATTAAAAAGTAATTAATATATTGAATATTTACTCTGAAAGCCCTGTAATATGTATGCCTCGCATAAATGATTGACTAGAAATGAAATGCTTTCGAACAATGAGTTCGCAGTGAGTTCACGTAACCTTATTATTAACCTTATTAAGCGTGGTAAGGTTGTCCTGGTAAAAGAAGGCAATGTGGATTTAAGCAAAATGTGGTTTTTATTAGGAACTAGCTGTGCCCGCGACTTCGTCCGCGTGGAATTTAAAATAAAAAATGTTATTTTGGCATATCTACCGTGTATACATCGATATGCATTTAGTAAATAGAGGTTATTTTAATATTACAAACAGACACTCCAATTTTATTTATCTGTATAGATAAAAAAACGGCCAAGTGTCTCCGATACCAGTAGAATAAAGGACCACTTGGTAGCTAAACGGGATCCCAATCATTTATGAGCAAATTAATTGGCTCATAAATGACGGACTTCTAAGAACGCAAACATACAAAGAAATATAACCTAATTGAGAACCTCCTTTTCCCGCAGTCGGTTGAAAAGTGGTAACGCCACCGTACAGCTTTACAATAGTCACAATTAAAAGGTCTAGCACGTGACCTAATAATAATAATTACGTTATTTAAAGCCGTGATTGGTCATGAACGGGAGAAATTTTTCTAAATATAACCTGAAACACGTGCCACGTGTTTAGGTTGTGACGCAACATAATTATGGAAAGTTAACTATAATATAACTTAACCATAGAAATATTTAACTCAGCGTCCATTTAGAGCAGTAGGGCGAGCTGTTAGATTAATTCTTTAGATGTTAGTTTTCGGTAGATATGATTGCGGAAACATTTTTCAGCGCTACGGGTTCAAACCTGCTTCTTCCGATGCACACATTATTTACGGTATGACTCAAGAAAGAGACAAAGCCTTCGGTCGTACTTTGGTTGTAGATAACTTTATCTTAAGGAAAGAGACGCAAAACCTCTGGTACTACGTCGTTTACTTTATGTATTAGATTTACAAACGCATAAAAAGTTATCGTGTGTTGAACAGATTACGTCCGAGTGTTGCATTTGAATTGGGTTATGCCACGGATTAACCGTACGAACCGAATTTTATATACTCGAAAATTAGGTAAATAAGTAAAATTAAACTGGATAGACCCCTTTATGTAAATGATTATTTGATGATGATTTAGTATGATGCTTAAGATTTATTACCTCCTAGTACTAACATTTACCAGTGATCATATTCAGTGATATTTTAACTGGATTGAAATGATAATTTTTATTTAATAATTGGTATAAATAATTAATATTTATATTTTCTGACCTCTGCAAGATATTGAAATGAAACAAAAATGTACCTAACATTTAAAATACGTAAATATAATATAAAATACGACATATTTAAATTTAAAATACGGTATTTTAAATTGATATCACTCACAGACTTTATTAAGTATATTATTTATTTTGAAGATTAAAGTTTTATGACGGTTAGTGGAAAAATTTTACGTAATTTGAGAAAATAACGGAATTTGCATGTGTAATTTCATTCGTAGCCATAAAGCTAAAACTTTAAAGAGACGCAAGGTTCAGTGAAGATAAGCATAAATAACATAATTATCTCTAACGAATAAATGAATAAAAATGGTTATTCACATGAATCAAAATGTTTTTTTTTTTTGTTATATTTTAATGAAATACAGATTGTTATTTATTGTAATTATTACTGTCAAACGTATACTAAGAATAAATAAATTTTTATTTTATGCATTCTTGTTTTATAAATTACATATTTTAAAAAAAACATGACATAATTTTTAGGTTCTTTCCTTTCTGCCTGCATATTAAAATGTCCTTAAAATGACCATCGAAAAGAAAAAAAAATTGAAAACGTCACCACGAAAAGCGTGAGAGGAAACTCTGGCATTGCGCGGGAAACGCACCAAATAAATTGCATAACGGGCCGCCGTAACTAACCCTACGCGCGAGGTCCACGCACCCACACATGCGAAGCCACGCACACGAGCGCGCGTAACCCACACACGGGAAGTCACTCACCTATGGTCAGAGAGAGTGGTCGGGCGCGTGCGGGGCGCCCAGCTGTAGCATCGAGCGGCACAGCTCCGTGATTTCCGGGTGGTTCAGGTTGATTAGGTGCACGTACATCTGCTTGTGGAGGCTCAACTCGCCCGAGACCGCCTCCAGCCTCTTCAGGAGGGCCTCCTTCTCCCGCAGCAGCGTCTTCACCTTCTCCTCCACCTCCCTGGAGCGCACCTTCGCCTTCTCGCGTGACTTCCTCACCGCTATGTTGTTTCGCTCGCGTCGCCTCCTGTACTCGTCGGTGCCTTTGTCGATCACCTTCCCTGAAGAGCGCCTCGGCGGGGCGGGCTTGTGTTTCAGCAGCGGCGGCAGCAGCGGTGCCCCGAGGGGCGGCAAGGGGGTGAAACCTCCCCCGTACGGCCCGCTCACGCCCACCGGCGGCTGGGGGTTGTACTGTCCCGTGTACTGAGCGCAGGTCACCGATCTCCTGAAGTCGTGCGGCTCCGGCGGCTCCTCCTTGATGGGGGGCGCCTGCTCGTGCGCGTTCGACTGCACCGGCGCCGCGTAGGACGCGCCCGAGTGTACCGGTTGCGGCATGTAAGCGAGGGTGGTCCTCGCGAAGGGCCTCGCTTGAGGCGATCGGCCACCAGGCATGATCTCCTGGAACAGGGCCATCGTCTCCTCGCCCCGGAACTGGTCCTCGATGAGGTGCTGCAGGTCGAGGCTGATCTCCTGGCCGTTGAGCTCGTCCAGGTCGGGCGGCGGGAAGGGCGCCCTCTTGTCCTCGGCGGCCTTCTTGAGGTCCGGCTGCGGCGGCGGCGGCGGCGCCGCGGCCGCGTCGTACATCTGCGGGGACTCCATACCGCCCGGGCCTATGGCTGGCCCAGCGGCGCCCGCCCGGTTCTCCACTGCGCACTGCTCGGACGTCACAATGCACATGCACGACACTCGCGGCGGCGCGTGCGGACGCGTCGGCGGCTGAACGCGGACTGACGCTGCGCGCGCGTCGAGCAAGGTTGCCGGAAGGAAGCGCTGAAGCCGCGCTGAAAGTTCGCCGGCGACGCGGTAAAAGTTTTTTTTTCGCCCCGCGCGCCTTAAGGCCTACGCACACCAACCTTCCGCGGCCGAATTTTATTTTTAATCCGATTGTAAAGTTCCGCGCACACTGAGTATGGGTCGATTTTTTTTTTTTCTTAAGTTAGGGCTAAGCCTAGGATGCAAAAGATATTTTTTTTATTTAATTCTTTACTCCCGCGCACGCTGAGCCTTGCTGTGGCAATGATTTTTTTCGATTGTTTCTCGTCCACCGCTGCGTTGTAGTGGAGATTCATTGACCCATTATCGGGCATGACGCATTCAATACCCGGGACGCCTGTGGGAAGTTAATTCTTTCGATAGTTCAATAATAACTTAATGAAAAGACAGTTTAATGATAATGTTCTAATTTTGAAAACGTTAATTAATCATTAATACTTGTATTTGTTGATTGAATTCTTGTAATTGAACAATCGCTTATTGTTTTAATTAAATAAATCGCTAACTAGATCTTTCTCTTTATTGAATAAAATTATTTCTGTACTGGTACAATTTTTAAAACAATTTTCCTTACAATTTTTCATTTACTATCGGCAAATGGTTTATTAAATTGGAATAAAAATCTTGACAAACATGTTTCTTATTTGTTGTTTTTAATGAACAGTGGCAACAAAAATCATTAAGAATATGTTTTTACATAATCATATTCAAAATTTATAAAAAACGAATTACGTCTTATTATCTATCCTTGCTTCAATGAAGATAACTTAATAACCAATATGTGTACAAGAGGAATATCTATATATTTATCTTTCGAATGTAAGCATTATTTATTTAATACTTAAAACTATATGATATAACTCCGGCTTCGAATCCGGATTGAAAAGCGGATTTCAATGAACCTTTTTAACTAAAAATTTCCTCCTTTTCTAGAAGCAACTAGTATAGACTCTTACCTATCGCGTTTAAGCCTTGTGACCATATCAGCAGTTAAATAAAAAAATCTCTAATAATTGTTTACTAAGGAAATAAACACGTATTTAAATGTTAATTATTGATTAGTCACGGAGTAAGCAAAATGAACGAACATTTCGTCTACAATGAACCTGCTTTACTATATATTTTATATATATATTTATTTATTTATTTATTTATTTATTCAGAGGATTACGAACAAAATACAGCATCTGCAGTCTAAAAATTTTTTTAAATTTTGCTAAGAATTTTATTTAACTGTTCCCTCAATTCGAGGTAATCGCATCACGATTAAACAAAGATAATAAGGATAACAAAAAGTTCAAAAGATAACAAATAACCTTAAAAAATAAACGAAAATAATAGCATTTAAATAATATTTTTTTTTAATTTAGCTCCCGACGTTAATATACATTTCCTTCCTTTTCTCCGTTATGATTAAAATGCATAAGTTTATGTTTAATTAGGCATGTTTAATTAGGCATTAGCATTAGGTTCGATTAAGTAGAGTAGGTATTTCACATTGCAATGGAAGTTATTTAGAAGATTAAACCATGGATGCTGCAAAGCGTTCGAGACACGTTGAGCAATCATTTAAATTGAACGCGACTGTATTCAATTATTTCTAAACGGGTCCGTTTAGAACAAATTCGAAATACAATTAACTTCAACGTAGGATGATAATTTCGAAAAATTCAACACAGATAGTTTACAGTTTAATGATCATTTCTATCAGTCAGACGCGCTTTAATGATCGGGATCGCTTTTATTGTATGTGAAAAGTTTTCAAGCGAGCAGACGGTTAACCTGATGTTAAGTGAATACACCGCCGCCCATGGACACCTACTACACCCAAGGGTTTACAGATGCGTTGACAACCTTTTGAAAATTGGGCTCCGCCTACCTAACTCACCAGACGAAACGCGAAAGTATTATACTTCCACTTAACGCCGGTCTTCTGTGAGGTCGTGGTACTTTCCCGAACGAGCCAGCCCATTCCTGCAACAGCCGAGGCTGGTGCATGGCCAGCCACAGTTACCACAGTTGAACCGTTAAAATTTTAGAATACAATAGAATACAATACAATATCAGCCTATTTCCGACCACTGCTGAATGTAAGCCTCCCCAAAAGTGCGCCAACTGTCCCGGTCCCGGGCAGCCCGTATCCAAAAATGTTAGTAAATACATCGATATATCATCATCTTTTCCCTTTTTTCGTGCGCAAGCAAACTGTTCACATGACGTGATTACCCCGTCCACGAACACCTGAGGGATACACGTAAAAAGTCAAGTTTCGGACCTCCGATACTAGTCGATACATACATGACGAGAAGGTCAGTGCCAGACGAGGATCTACCGGGAACCCATCCCACACAACCTGATAGAGAAACTCCGATAGGTCCGAAGCTAGTCGGCACATACACTGATTGGACGTGAGTTTTGCCGTTTGATTATTTAGCTAAAATACCTCAAGTTAATATTAATAACTAGCTGTGCCCGCGAATTCGTCCGCGTTTATATAAAATAAATAAAATTTCTAAAATAAAAGTAGCCCAAGTTACTCCTTATTACATCAGCTATCTGCCAGTTAAAGTACCGTCAACATCGGTCCAGCCGTTTCAAAGATTAGCCGGAACAAACAGACAGAGAGACAAAATTTTTTAAAAATACAGCATATAGTAATAAGCTGTTATTTTAATATAACAGATTGACACTCCAATTTTATTTATGTGTACGTAGTATATGTAGTATGTATAGATTTAACCTAACCTCTTCTACCTAGATGCGTTGCCAGCTTTCAAAAAATGTGGGCACCGCTACCTTATGTACCAGACGATAATCAAAAGTAATGAAAATATACTTCACATCTTCTGTGAGGCCGTTTTACTTCCTGGACGAGCCTGACCATTCTACTACCTAATTACAGTTGAAAATCACAGTCTACTCAACTTCAAACGACCCTTGTTCATAGATTGTATAAGACAGTTAATTCTCCTTCGCCGAATTGGCTGGAAGAAGGTTTCCTAAATAAGTTTTCAATAGTTGCATCACAAAAAAAAAACAAAAAAGAGAACCAGACCGCAGAGTTTCTTGCCGGTTCTTCTCCATTCAGTTCTTGTTTAGTGAACCGGTGGTAATTTTTTGTACGTTCAATAAGAGCTTAAGTTAAGCCTACATTGAATAGCTAGCGACCCGCCCCGGCTTCGCACGGGTGCAATGTATTATGAATATAAACCTTCCTCTTGGATCATCTAGTTAATCAAACCGCATCAAGATCCGTTGGGGAGATTTAAAGATCTAAGCATGCATAGGGACAGAAAGACGGTACGACTTTGTTTTATACTACGTAGTGAAGATATTTTGACTTAACTTGAAATATATGTTATCACAGAGCCATCTCTTTCAAGGTCAACAGTGCTGTACAACCCACGGGAGTCGCGAGTATCCATGTATAGATACAACTCATTACCTGGCTAACCGCCAGCCCTTGCCAACGCCATATCACAACGCAGTCGCACCGTACTATCGATAGCGCATCGAAAACAACACTATCGGATGGCTATCGATAACGGAGGGGGCACTATCGTCACGGACTAGTGGCGATCGCTATCGGCATTACGAAAACATTGATACGATAGACGTACTATGGGAACGTGCAGACGTGTCGTCGGCACCGTACGTGGCCAATCACCCGAGGTGATGAGCCGGGGCAATCACCGAGTAGAAGGGGTGAAGATAACGCGATGTGACGTGGGGGTAGAGATAATGCGATGTGACGTGGGCGTAGGTATTACGCGATGTGACGCAACATAATCACATTTTATAGGAGATAGTAGAAGGGCGATCCATCCGATATTAATTGTACAACAAGCATCGCAATAGATGGAGTGACGACCTGGGCAAATGTGAGGGAATGAATGCAGGTGGCTCAGGATCGTGCTTTGTGGCAGTCTATGGGTGAGGCCTATGTTCAGCAGTAGACTTAAACGTGCTGAAATGATGATGAAGGAAATAGACCTCAAACTAGTTCGACCTTCGGATGCATTGAGATGCTTAGAATCACCCCTTAGCAAGAAGACTATTTGTGAGGGAGACGGAAGACTGGTATTCTGTGGTACAGAGCGAGACGGTACTTGCCCATGCTTAGTCTCACGTGTTTTAATGCTACACGCGTCTTTCGTTACGTAGCAAAGGAAATTCTCGACTAGATCGTTTTGAAGTCACACCCATTTCCCTTATCGAGGTGATGTACGTGTTAACAAATAAAACAGAAACCGGCGATAGGCCTAAGCGCACGTTTCTACACGAGACTCTTATCATCAAAACAGAGATAGCATCGGCGCCGGAGAGAAATGAAAATGAAACGAAGCTTATTACTTTATTTTTAGGGTTCCGTACCCAAAGGGTAAAACGGGACCCTATTATTAAGACTCCGCTGTCTGTCTGTCTGACTGTCCGTCTGTCACCAGGCTGTATCTCATGAACCGTCATAGTTAGGCAGTTGAAATTTTCGCAGTTGATGTATTTCTTTTGCATCTATAACAACAATATTAAAGTGTAAGTAATTTTTTTTTAACTTTGTCATTAATGTGGAATAATATTATTGTGTACTGTAAGGACATTTTGGAAATAAATTTTGCGTGTAAAAGCAACCAGATGGGAAACAATTATCATGTGGGTCAGACGGATAGTTGTCCAGTGTGAGGTCGAACCCACGCTTCGGCGCCGAAACCAATGCCTTGGCAACTGCGTCATGGAGTCATCAAGGTTTTTTTTATGTGAGAAAGTGGCAAACGAACTCGCGGATCACCTGATGTTAAGTGATAACCGCCGCCCATGGACATTTGCAACACCCATAGGATTGCAAATGCGTTGCCGCCTTTTAATAATGTCGGCCCCGGCTACCACACTCACCAGACGAAACGCAGAAGTGTAACACTTCTACTTTACGCCGGTCTTCCCCGGACGGACCTGCCCATACGTGCAACAGCGAACACTGTTGCGTGGTCCTACTTCAGTCATTATTCGTTAACTGTTTTCAATAACGATGTAAGCAAATAAGGACATCGATTGAAATGTCGGAATACGTAACGTTTGACACCAGCGGTATCGAATTTCGCAGCGACGAGCAAAGACGGCATCGAAATGCGCGAAAACCGCCGAATCGCGGCTGTGACACGTGTCCGCTGAGAATGTCGCGTGTCGCGTTTATGAAGTGTGACGCATGACATTCTTTTGCGCGGGCGCTTTGACTCAGCCGATGCCTTAATGTCGCACTGATGTGTGATACAAAAGAATCGCTTAGGCGCATGGTTGGGCCTTTGGAACACTGTGGTAGGGCCACGCTGTGGCACGAATGGGCAGGTCCCCTTAGCCAATGCACGAATGAGCTCATGCGTGGCCCTACTGCCAACTGTGGAGCGCCGCAAACCCGTGGGCTCCGGCTAGCCCATCAGCCCTGCGTTCGATGAAGCTTTAATAGTCACGGGACTGAAAGCGTTGACATCAGTTAAAAAAAAAGAATGTGCAGGTCCGTCCGGGTAAGTGCCACGACCTTACAGAAGACCGGCGTGAAGTGGAAGTGTTACACTTCCGCGTTTCGTCTGGTCTGTGAGGTGGCCGGGGCCCACTTACTTTGTGGCTACGCATTTGCAACTCTACGTGATGCAAATGCGCTTGCCATCTTCTCACATAAAAAAACACCACCCAGATCAGTAACGATTTTGGTCTCACAAATACTTGTCCCGTGTGGGAATCAAACCGGCGACCCCCGACGCCGGAGCCAATGGCTTAGCAACTGCGCCGTCGAGTAATAATAGTAAGCATTGAATTTCATTTACGTAGTCAAATCACATTCCCTCGGCCATGCCTTCAAATGTCTAATTAATAATTGACTAAACACTTCACGCAAAAACTGATGACATCGGGAGAAATACAAATTAAAGTTTTGTTAAACATCAAATAACCTTTCTGTGACTAACATTCGTTAGTTGATTTAACGTAAGCTTAATACACTTCGTTAAGTGATTCCCGTTACGCAATTTACTTCAAATATTATCGATAAAAACGCAATTCAATTGAAACAATAACGATGACATGCGATGACGTAGTAACCAGTAGTGGTCTTAATTTTATTATACGTGCTTAGATAAAGTTATATATAGTTTGATAAAGGGCAGGCGATACTTTTCGAGAAAAGGTAAACGTATACCAGATGTTAAACGATAATTACATAACCAGTAGGATTACAGTTCCGTTATTAAATTCCTGATTCATGCAAAAGTCCCGGAAATTCCTGGAAATCGAGATGTTTAAGAAAAAAATTGTTTCGTTTCCTTCTTTTTTTTTTCAAAAGGAGTCTTTTTTGAAGAATTTTAATTGAGCTAAATTCTGGTGAATCGTATTAAAAAGGCATTTTTTTTTTGTAAAAATCTACATTTATTAAACGGAAAATTTTAACGTTTATTTCTGTGTCAATGATTGACTTTTTTATTCTTTCAATCATACACAGATTCAATTTTAGGCAGTTAAATCTTATAGATTGGATACCAGTGGTAAGCTCACGATGAACTCTACACCGTGACTCTTAAATCTTTGCAACTTTAGAGCAAGCAGGAATCCAAAGGTCCTTCTAGAAGTATCCGCTATGCATTTCCTAGGCACTGGAGGCCTAGTAACAGCCCCACCACTTAGTGGGGGGTGCGGTGAGCGGCTCGATCGCCCAAGTGACGCAACCGCCTCAGCGCCGACAACGTGGTCGCGACATCGACCATAGGCACGCGATCTAAGATGGTAAAAAAGCTGTGCATGATAGTTTAAATTTGAAACCTTATTGTCTATGAATTGTCGTAGAGACAAATAAATAGATTGTGGTACCTGATTTAAAAAAAAGTAAAGCTAGCGACATCGAGTTTAATTAACTCGATAGATACTTGTTATAACTAGATATCTTATACATCTCTAATTTATCTTCAAATAATGTTTATTTATCTAATATTTACAAGATTAAATCTATCTAAAATTACATATTATCTAATAAACCAAGAACGCTAGCTGCATTTATCTATTTTCTAAAATTATAAAATCGAAGAGCGTACATACATACGTTCACTATAGATTCCAAGGCAGGACTGGTTTTGATGAAATTTTCAGAGTATCTTCAGACTAACCCAGCACTTGACCCTGTGAAGTTTTGTAGCTTAACTTGAACTTGGAACTAAAAACTTTGAAATCACCCGAGGTGATGAGCCGGGGCAAAAAACTTTGAAAAACTAACAAAGGTAAATGGTATAACTGCTTTTTTTTTGGGTTTATTTACGTGGTTTTTGAAACTACATGCGTTTCGTTTTGATTTACTTGTGAAACTAAGAGGCGTCTGGTTACGGATAAACTGCGTTTCGAGTTTATTTACGTGATTTTTCAAACTTTTACATGTCCGGTCGACGGATAAACTACGCTTCGGGTTTAATTGCGTGGCTTTCGAAACTAAGAGGCGTCCGTCAGTGGCCGATATGTAGAGGCGCGCTGTCTCAGTGAGTGGGTAAGTAGGCGAACGACAGCAGAAAGTGGTTGGCTGTGATGCAACCGCGCCGGTGACCCACTCAGCGGCGGGGCGACCGTCCTGACGGCGGTTGGTGGTCACCAACCGCACCACACTTGCCGTATCACTACCAGTCAGTACCAGGAAACAATCGGCTGGCTGTCACAAACCGCATCGCACTCACCCGAACACTACCACACGGTACCAGGAGACAATAACTTTTTTGTTTCTACGACATTAATTTTTTTTTTTATTTCCGCAACTTTCTGTTATTTCCGTATAACTTCGTTGTATACTCTCTCGTCTCTCATAAGAGATAAAATTTGTCATTGCGATTTTTTGGTTATACAGAGTAACGAATAAATTAAAAACTAAAAAAAACTCATGGTTTCTTGTACATCACCCATTAAACCGTTACTTTACGGCGCGTGGACGATGAGATCAGCCCATTAATTACTAAATTTATAAATACTCCTAGAGGATTCCATTTATGATCCATGGCAAATACCACCTGTCGTCTACCTGTTGGATAAGGCTAATATAGCTTTAACGATTAAAGTAAAATTGAATTTATTATAATAAAAGACAAAAACTCGATAAATTTAGGTCAAATGACGCGTTCAGACGAATGTTTATTACACCTTATTTGTTAATACAAACGTAACCTTACAGCTAGTAATATGGACGATGATTCACAAAACATTGATTAAAAATTCGAAAGTGATTTAACCATATTATAATATAATATATTAGTAAACAAAGTGATTTTATGACTTGGGTAACAAGACCTTTAAGCCAAAAAACACGGATTAATTAACGATAGCCTACGAAGAAGTAGTGATTGTTTTTTTGCCATGTTACTATCACCAAAACATTTATTTCATGTATTTTTCAGGTAAAAAAAATTACTATTATAGTTTATTCAGTAAAAAATTTGAAATTTGACATTGAAAAAAAATTGCAGTATAACTGTTATCTGAATGGAGAAATCCGAAGACGTTATACTATAAAACTAACTCAATTTACATTTATACACAACTGGTTATTTTAATATATTTTTTTACAAGTCCAAAATTATTAATAACATATCTGAAGGTAAACTATGCCTGAGAACAACATGCAATGATCAGGCAATGTATAAATGTGTATACAAGAAAAAAATAGGTTATATATATAATTATTATTACGTACATAATAAAACTTAACGAACTCAGAGTTGCCATGAGAAGTATCTCCGCAGTACGAGAACTAGATACAAGATCAACATGAAACAATGCAATGTGTATACAAAAAAAGTTTAATATTTTAGTTAGGTATTACGTAGTAAATTAAACTTAACGAGCTCAGAGTTTCCATGAGAAGAATCTCCGCAGTACGCGAACTAGATACCGTAGAGCGATCGAAAGCAAATCGCGGCGGCCGAGGCACCGGTACCAGGGCGTCAGCGCCGCGGGCGGTTACGCAACCGAGCGGGCCCACTCTCACTTTCGCGAGCGGGAGGCCGGAGCGAGCTTTGCACTTCTAATGCCATCCGCGCCGCTCGCGATCTATGAGCGCCTGGTACGTAGACACGCTTGTATTAGGAGACAAAGGAAACTTTACCATAGACTTGTTACGCAAAAAACCCTTTGTTGTTTATGGTCCGTCCATAGAGAATGTTTTCAATTTATCATTGTCTCCATCGAATGATGTTTTCGCTTTCACTTTGTTCACCGTGTTAATGATAATAAATTTGTCTATTGATGAATGGAGGCCTAAAGATATGATGATATGTGTCATCATCGATTATAAATCAGAAAAGTGCCAAGTGGCAGTTTGAATTTTTGTCATGGTTGTAAGATATAATTCCTGAGGGCTCTACTTTCCTTGTTTTATACATTTAGATATACTTTAAATTAACGTTTTTAATACAAAAACAGCACATTAACTGACATATTGCTTCGAGTTCCGTTCTGATGTAACAATATCAGTAGATGAATACTTACAATCATGATTAATAAGATCATGATTCAAACTTTTAACTACACTAAGGGTGATGAGAAATCGAATTGAGTCATGTGTACGAATAATTTTTTCAATGGGGCTTATTATATAATCCTTACACATTGAAGTTGAAAATAATACACGATAAAGATAAGACATATTACTTCATAAAAAACCCCAAATTACAAAAATTAAGAATTTTTCTTACGAACTAGACTCAAGCTAAAACCAACTTGAACAATTTATAACACTTGGATAAATATGGCATAATAGCAGAAACTTAATTTTTAAAATTCTAAAAAAAATATATAAACACGTATAAAACCAAACAATGCATTTCAATTGCGTTTTTATTACTTTTAATAACAATCAATTTGTTGGTGGAATTCAAAGATGTTAGACTATCGTTTATTCTTATCTTATTATAAAGGCTAAAATTTGTTTCTTTGTTTTTAGTATAATCCTAGAAGGAACTCTACTGATAAACTTTTCACTAGTAAATAGACGCGAGTTGGTCTAGTCAGACGAAAGTTAAAATTTTAAAAAATGTCTATTTAATTTTTACTTTCCTTATATCGTGAAACTTAATTCAGATTTCTGAAGTAAGCAATTTAGTGTATACATATTTTATTTAGTTACCCTCACAGGTGTATACATAATTATGTATACATAATACATTTCATATCCAGCATGTTATATAAAAACAACCATGTGCATTATAAAAATAGTACACAAGAATGTGTGTTGGTTATATTATGTACAGTCGCTCACAAATTTTATCGTATGCAATCGGACTATGGTTACCATCTTAATTGAAAGCATTAGGATATTCTTCATATGTATCGAAATTTTTTACACTTTTATATGCACCATCAATAAAGAAGAAAGAAACTACTGATATTCATTACAATTATATGTAATGCATTTTTAAATTATAATTTGTATATTAATGTAGTTTACCGCCATTTTGAATTCACAAGCATGAAGTTTAGGCATATTCCATATTTATTGGTTATATATTGTAATACGTTTCTTTAGATTAATGAAAAAGCAATAATTAAAAAAAAACTGGATTTAATACAATTTTATGACAATTTTTAACACTGGTAATAAATGCACACACTAAGCTATTAAGAAAAAATATGAAATAAAAGTACCTAGATCTGAGAGATTTATGGATATTTCAGCCACCAATCCGATATATGAAATGTTACTTACACAACTGCAAAAAGGAAGATGACATTTAGAAATCACAAATCTGTTTTAATTTAAAAAACGGAAACTTTGGCCACTAAGATATACTCATTACATTATATCTCGCATAGGACCACGACTTGTAAATAGCGCTGACAGAGTTATCACGTACAAACTTATCTTAGACACAATTTTTTGGTTTATGTAAGGGAAATGCCTATGTATACCCAACCTACGGGAGCAAAAGCGAGCTACGTCATACTCGCACTGATTGAAACCCTCAAGATTTTCTTTTCTTGACCCAGGGTGCATATTGAGAATGTCGCGGGAACGCTTCGGTAATCTTGCGAAACCAATGCCCAGAGCTAGGGGAGCCACTGCTAACAAGCCTCGCGACCACCAGCGGACCAGGTCTGTAGTTCCGCCGCTCACGACGTTTCGGCTGCGAAGGATAAGGAGAGTGGCACATTGCTATACTGACGCCCCCCTAACCCCCGGCCTCACAACCGCTACAACATTTATTTTCATTGCTGGGCTAGGCAAAATGCTTCTACATTTAGCTTTGAAGGTGAGAGAAATACCAGGACTGTAGAAAACAGCGGCGGCTTGGCCAAAACGCCATCGTCACCCTTACTAGTCCTTACTAATATTATAAAGCGAAAGTTTATATGTAAGGATGGATGTTTGTTACGCTTTCACACAAAAACTACTGAATAGATTTTAATGAAATTTTACAATAATATAGCTTATACATCAGAATACATAGGCTATAATATAGAAAGATATTGTGTGAACTGTTCAAAACATAGGTGATGATCATAGCCATCTGCGAAATATTCCGGTGTATAATAAAAAACTCATTGTTAATTCCCTTTGGCATCGCGGATGAAGCCGCGGTAACAGCTAGTCTTGCATGAAAGTCATCAGCAGGACTGTCTGGGACGCGGCCGCTCCATGGTCACCGTAGCCGGCTCCAGCGAAAGTGTGTCAGGCCCAAGCGACGACGTAGTAGGGACGAGGTATTTCCAACGTGAAATGGTACGAGCACGCTCGCAGCCGCGCGGCGTTTGTTTCTCCGCCTTATTTTGTTGCGAAACGCGCGGTGTTTTTCCCAAATACGTCGGGCGGCCTTTGGAGGCTTTAATAATAGTAGTTCAATAAACTAGTAAGTTATTTTTCATGCGAGAATTGGAGGCGGCAATAATAAGTCCCTAAATGATGAGTTCTTTTTGATGCGAAAAGGTATACATATGAGGTTGCAAATGCGTTGCAGGACTGAAATGATTACGCATGACTAACGGCGTCCTAAGGTTTGTCCTTTGTTCAACAGTGGATGTCTTTCGTGGCTATGATGAAGAGAAGTAACAAGAACAAAGTCTCATGAGACGTTCAACTAAAATACAAATGTTTTTTTAAAAAAACTACACCCAGCTAGCTAGCAGAGCTTTAAACCTCTTTGGGTTAAGCTTAGAATTGCTTTGCGACACGTGATTTGATGATTGTGATCATGGAAACACGATTGTTAACAACCTAATAAAACCTTTACTACACTTCAAGACCCATAGGCATAAAGGCTGATACACATAGAACTTCCCCGTTATTTTGACAGTTTCTTGTTCTCCATCCCTGAACTGGCTTAGGCTAAACATGTTCTACCAGAACTAGCTATAATAGACCAAAATAATCCGGCCTTTCTCTATAACAAATATCTTAATGCTTTAATAGAGATATCTTTTATGTTAGAAGATGGTCAGGGCTGGCGATTCACCTGATGTTAACTCAACTCGATCAGCAGACGAAACGCAGAAGTGTAACAATTCACGCCGGTCTTCCATAGATTTACGCCATTGATTCGACATAGATCTACAGTAATTAAAACTTCAGCCAAGCTCGCAAAACCAATAATAAAAAATATCTCTTTAGGCATGGTTATAACACAAAATGTAAATCGGTAGCAACTCCGATGGCCTCGTAGCTCAGCATCTGATGAAGAATGATCGAAGACTGACCGATTTTAACAAGGGAGATAGCATCATCTCAATAGGTCAAATGTAGATGACTCCGTGGCGCAGTTGCCAAGGCATTGGCTTCCGCGTCGGGGGTCGTGGGTTCGATTCCCACACGGGACAAATTTGTGTGACCCACAGATAGTTGTTTCGATTCTGGGTGTTTGTCCGAGTGAAATTTATGTATGTAAAACGTCTTTACAACACAGGATAATAGTAATCCTAAAATAAGGGCAATTTTTTTAAAAAAGAAAAAAAGTACTTTATTTAAAAGTGTTGGTGTTGTAAATGTCCATGGGCGACGGTTATTACTCAACATCAGGTGAACCGCCAGCTCCTTTGCCACTTTCTCGCATAAAAAAAGCAAAAAAAATAGGCTTGAAGTTGAGACAGTCAGTTCTTCTTAGGATATCGAAACCTCTACCAGGACCAAACTGCGGTCTCTACGTAGAGCCGACTGGGCTGTCGTGACTCACCAGGGCTACATGAGTTGGGACGTATACAAAACGCTTGAGCAAGTGTAAATCGATTAATTAGCCAGACGACCCGCTTAGCATACAATAGGGCGACCTGTTAGAAATTGCTCGGTCAGCCAGCAGCACAGTGACCCGAGCCCTCTATTGTAAGCGGCCTTGGAAGCGCCGGCCCCTTAAGTACCCGCGTCCTGAAAGGCATACCATTTATTATGATATGATATTTATTAGGATAGATGAAAATCTCGATACTCTTAAAATCATTTTTAACACAAAAAAACCGGAAACAGGAACTAAAAACATGGTTAATACCTATAACATTTGAGAATTGCCTTCGATTTATCTGGGAGGCCATCATCAGATCCGGGTTTCCTTATCATGGTATACCCTTGGGATATACCCTCGCCAATAAAAAGAGAATCATCAAAATAAGCTCATAAACGATAAAGTCCGTGAACATAAAAAAGATATATACGGTCGGAAAGTCACCTTTCTAACAAACTCTCAGTCAACCTTTGGGTTTCGAACTGGTGATCTCGAATCGTATATCCGACATCCCAGCCACTAAGCTATCGGTATCTGTTATTTTTCTACTCAAGAAGCTTAACGCAGGAAGCAAATAAGTACGAGTATGCGAGTAATGCCTGAGATATCCAATGATCAATAGACAATATTAATGTGCCATAGATTGGTTAAGATGGGTTTTTACTATACTTCCATATCTGTAAATGACTATTAATGATGACTCGATTACAAAAGCAAAAAAAAATATATGTATAGCTATTTATCTAATTAATCAAACACAATATTATAAGTTATCGTCAAAAAAAAAATTATTCAGTTATCGTCAAGTCAACATAACTAATGTTAAATACCCGCGAATAGCCTCTTTTATTTAAAGCCTAAGATATTTAATTTATTTTTTGTTTAATTTTATTTTTATTTGTACATGTGGTGTTTATCTTTAAGTAATTGTATTTACTAATATATATTTATTCTAAAGTTATTTACTTAGCTTTAAGAAGTATCCAGTGTCAACAGTTGTTGATTAACCTTATTAAATAAATTAAAAAAAATACAGTAGTCACGATCACCTGTTACAAATAGACAAACAGATAAAACGCCGTTATATCTATTAAAGGCGATATCTGCGTAATACATTTATCATAGCCCTATACCTCCACGCACACACGCGGGCCGCCTGACCTAAAAGTGTAACTAAAAAGATGCAAACAATCTTTTTAAAGTTTTGATACCAGAGCCGGACTGAGATATCGTAATAAATGCCTCTTATGTAAGATTAAACATTTGCTGTTACAACTGTAACATAATGTATAAAATAAAAGCTTTAACGCGTCGAATATATTAAAGAGTAGACAGAGAGAGCAAAAGCCCGTTTAACTGATTATCTTAAGCCACTAACTATCACGGGTGATGAGTTTGTTGCATACATCGGGATCGAAAGCGCAAAGCCTAATACTTTACGCTGCAAACCTGAGTTTAAGTTCTAGCCCCTAGGTCACTGCCTCGCCTTCATATCCCGTACAGGTTGAAAACGATACGCGTCAAGCATGTTACTATCTAAAGATGTCGTCAGCCAAGTCTTGCTTCTAATTACTCGACTTGGAAATAACATATCCGAAATAACATATCCCTGTGGCTGATAGTGAAATCGGGGTGCAAACCCGTGGCGTCGATACCTCTGGTGCCCATCCACTGAGCCATCGCGTAACTCCCTACCCAATTCGGCCAACTTGAACGCTGAACGGAAATTTTCCCCGAGCACCGTCAAAGTTGAGATCGAACACAATCGATTTCTAGCATACGAATCAACCGTTCCGTTAAACTGACCACATTTATCTTAAGACGTCACGTCGGTCAGTGTGTCGCCGTATTACAATCATTATATCACGAATGTATGCCGAGGAATATTTATGATATGATAAATGTTTTATTTATATTTAACTAGCGACCCGCTGGCTTCGCACGGGTGCAATGTATTTATACATTTAAACCTTCCTCTTGAATTCCTCTATCTAGTAAGAAAATCGCATCAAAATCCGTTGCGTTTTCGTTTTCTTTAATAAGAGTGGTTCAAGACCAAGGTTTATATGTATAATTCATGCACAATATAAAAGCGAAACACTGATAATTTTATAGGTTTCTAATGCGATGTCGATAACAAACATTCAGCATTGCACCCGTGCGAAGCCGGGGCGGATCGCTAGCTGATAAATAATATAAAAGATACTCGAACTATGTTAATATTATTTTTCGACGTGCACGCCGGCCCTGCGCTTTTCTATTAGTGGCTTGTCCTATTTTAGGGATTGCAACATAGGGCTACGTACAAAGGCGCGTGTGTGTATAGTCCTCTGTCATTGTGTGGGTAGATCGCGCCGAAATTAAAGACGCGCGGAATTTTATAATGTCCTTTAAACAATTCTTTATCACATGCAATTCTGTCTAATGATCAGTGATTTGTTATACAATTTAATGCATTAATTATTTAATTTCTATCTCACTGTTCATTTGTTTTATGTGCCTAATGCCTTTTCAATTTTGTGATGAATGTCTGTTCGTTAAGTAATAGGGATAGAGGCCTACATGGGGTAAGGAATGGAGAGAGAAAAATAAGTGGACTAAAACAACAACTTTAACTGTGGTAGGACTAACTGTTGCACGAATGGGCAGGTCTATCCGGATAAGTACTACAAGGTCACAGAAGACCGGCGTAAAGTACAAGTGTTACGCTTCTGCGTTTCGACTGGTGAGTGAGGTAGTCGGGGCCCACTTTATTAAAAGGTGGCAACGCATTTGCAACGCCCACGGGTGTTGCAAATGTCCTTGGGTGGCGGCTATCACTTAACATCAGGTGAACCGCCAGCTCGTTTGCCACTTTCTCGCGTTAAAAAAAAAAACAGAAACATGATAGAAAATCCTTTCTCAAGTGCAGTTCAAACATTGTAAATGTTACGTACGCTGTTTGTTACATCGGTGTAATTAATAGCGACATTTAATGTAACGTTCACACGGTCTTTATTTATAAATTATTAATTAATGGACACGTTCTTTATGCCCTAATAAGACAGTGGAAGACGGATACACGTATTAGACCGTTGAATAAAGATGTAGTACTCTGTGATAAATATTGCACACCGTTCGAAAGAGACAATTGGTTCGGCTTCGTAGAGCGTCGTCTCTGTCGCACTAAGCGCTGACAGAGAGACAGACAATGTATATAGTGTATACTGTAAATGGATGGAAACAATAAGTAGATAGAAGAATAACTAGCTATGATTAGGTTAAAAGAAACGAATAATAATCACACATGGTTAAATGAAATATCCACATTCTAACGTATGTAATTATTTAATTTAGTTAATTGCCAAGAAATTGGCTTGCTCCCTAACGAGCGATTAGCAGGAATATCATCTTAATTCGGGATTGGATCCAAGCCTCGATTTCATCTTAGTATCGACGCCAATTAAATGGTTAAAAACAACACAAACTATTTTTTTAATTTAATTTTAAACTCATAGAACTTGACCCGTGACCATCGTAGTCAATTTACACAGCCGCTAAGTCACCGCCGTCTCACTTTTAAATTATATGATATTTATTAATAACATATAAAAGGAAAAGTCGCCTATGCGTCTGCGTTTCTGACATAACTCGCATTTTATGCTGCCCTGGTAATTAATATCTAGCGCTTGTTATGATGCAGGTTTAAAATTTAACTTCTCTGCCCACCCCGTGGGAATAGAGAATAAAGGGATAAAATAAACGTATTTTTATAAAAGAGTATGAAAAAGAAGAAGTTTCTATACAATTTTATTAAATTCGTTAATTAAGACTTCGCTAAGGAACGAATTTAATATCAGTTACATAACTGGCATTAGTGGCATCAGAAACGGCTGAAATAAACAACGCATACATGAGTCTCATATATACACGCTATATGGCACAAATACATATTCTACACAATGTTAATAAAGTTGTAGTAACCTGTCGACAAAATAACATTTTTAATAGAATTACATTCTCGATGTGGTTGCGTCTGGTGACTAGAGGGCCGATACTCGGTCAAAATTTTCGTTTTTATTAAGCGAGATAATACAGCTATGTTCTTGGCACCACACCGCGTAAGCTATTTGTTAGCAAACGTGTTTTACTTAGTATTTTATAATAGTTAATATTTCGATGTAAATAAAATTGCTTCATACTTTCAAATTCATCCGTTTGAATCTCTTAATGGAATTTACGCGTATCCGCTTTTACATCCTTACGAGTGGACTTTTCTAAGAAACAGACACTTTTGTTGGTTTAATATGCTAAATAACTCGAAATAGAATTAAAAAATACTTTTGTATAAATATGATGATAACGTATATATCGATCTGTAGGGACTAAAATTAAAATACAAGATTCACTTTTTTAACTTCACATATCATAAAAGTGGGATTGATACAGCGCCATCTATTGACTATGATATGTTGACAACAATGCAATAAACATTTTGAATAACGCAACCGAAAAAACGAATTGCTTAAGTGCTATAGGTCTAGCAGTGCCCTATGTGAATACTAAAATATTGTTATTGTTTCATTAAGAGCTTTTAACGAAGTTATTTTCACCTTTGCTCACTATAATAACCGGTTGTCGAATAACTAACATAAATGTTAAGCGCAATTAATGGAGCTATAATGCATAGAAAACAATAAGAATCAATAACTGTTGTAGTCTGTTGTAGGTTATATTACGAGGCTTAAATCGCCGTATCGGTTTTTTAAATTAACTTTTCCATTAATAGTTTTGGATGAGCCTATAGTAACTGTACTGTTTGTGCTGGAATATTAATAGCCTTTCTATATGTAATCCACTGATTTATCTTTTTATTGTTTAGCTTAATATAAAATAAAAATACACTACGATATGCTCTGTAATTTCACCAAATATATAGTTGCTTAAGTTTATGTTTGTGATATAACAGTTTTTTGCAGTATTGCCATCTAGTGGAAAGAGGCTTTAAAGTGTAAAACTGTAGCAACTAATAGTTTAATTTACCCATAGATGTCGCTGTTCACTAAAATTTTAACGTTATTAACTGCCATTAAAATAATGAGGGATTAAATGAGAAAAAAATCATTTCTTTTCTTTGTTGATAATTACTTTAAATATTGATAAATTAAATACTTAATACACAAATATAGTTTTTCTTGCTTTTAATGCTTTTAAATGATACTGTAATAAAAGAAAGTGGAAATAAGTATAATAATACAATTTGAGTTACCTAATTAGTACAATTCGTATTAATTAATAAAATGTTAGATAATATATTAAATAATATGATTCTGTATTTTACAAATTTGTCATTTGTACCTATTATAGTGATAGGACTAAGTACATAGAAGTTAGTTAGTACATTGTAGTATTAATAAATGTAACTAGATGTCACTGTATTCCATTTAATTCGGTTTAATGTCATAAAGACGCCAACTGGATACATTAGTGGATGATGGCCAGTAAAAACCGCTGCTCCTGGAAGCATGGAACACCAGAGTGCAGGTGTCTTGCCAACCCCAGTTAAGGCTAGTCTTGCTTAGTCCAGTTACCCCATCGTATGAGTAACTAATAAATAGTTGTACTTAATGTTTGTCGTGTGTAAAGTCACAGTACACTTTTTTAAGGTCGAGATAAGTCGTATGTTAGGCCTATTCGTGTAGCAGAATCTATTATGTAAGATGTAAAGTTCCTCTATCACAGTTACAAATGAAATATTTCCTGACTTGGCACCTCGAGATTTTCGTGACATTGCAGCCATGTCCCCGAAACGTCCAATTATTTGGTAAATTTAGAGATAATTTTAAGTGACATGATTAAAGAAACTAAATGCACAATCTTCAGCACTGTATAATTGCTATTTTAAAATCGCAGGCATAATTTAATAAGTACCAATAAAAACACACAATCCAGTTCTTCCATTTATTTATTACTACGTAATAATAGCGATTAACGCGTTGACGTCCTCTGTGTCGCTCAAATTACGGAATATAACCTCGTCCCCCTTCCGTTCAGCCACTATTTCTTGGACTGCCATCATTCTTAGAAGTGCTTCTGCTTCATTTACCTCGCCGTCACCCAATATCCTCTCACTGATCTGGTTGGACAGGTTGATATCGTCTATCAGACTATCGTCTAGACCCAGGATGCTGTCGCTTCGTCTTTCAGAGCGCCTTCGAATCTTGAAGCCGGCTTCTTTGAGCTTCTTCTTCGCGAGCTCCAAGAAAGTCGGAGAGCTTAGTGTCTCTCGCAGCCAATTCTTGATTTTCATCTTCTTGTCCTCCACTTGAGCTTTGAATCTGTGTGTCGATTTGACATCTATACTAATACAGTAAGTACTATTTGCTTCTTTGCTTTATTTCTTTGTTAAAACTCAGTGCATCTACATTACTTGTTAGATTATGACTTACGTCCTGACTCAAAAATAACAATAATAAACAATAGTTAGAATATTATACAATTTTTAGTTATTTTAATTACTACTCTCCAATATAAGTAAGTAGTTATCATATTGCTAACCACTTCGCTAGACTAGTGTTAAATTGATTTGTGTAAAAGTATAGTCTTACTAGCGAATAGATTGAATTTAATGTTAATTATATTATAATTGTCATGTCTGAATCCGGTATTTGTTGTGTTTAAATTTGTCTACCCGTGTTTGCCCCAGTTCAGCTTGCCAGTATTATCATCTCGAGGAGTATGCGTTTTTGAATTGGCTAATCTCGGCAAGTTCTGTTCCGATCTGAAAGTTAGCAATTTGTTTCGGATAGTTCATTATTGAATAACTTCACTATAGTATTAATCGTTGCAGTACAAACAGTAATGTGCTGCATATAACGGAAGATTTTATGAATATAAATTAAACCGACATAGAGTATCTTTACCTAACAGATCTAAACAAGAAACTATCAGTCACACGATTTTTTAGCATAGTCTGTGCTAATGGGTGCGTTGTTGCTCTATTCCCATTGTCGCACGTGTAATTCCGAGGTTTTGTGTACCGTAAGAGGGCGGAACCTTCAGAATGACTGAAGCGCCAGCTAAATGAAAAAAAAAACTTGCCAAAGCTCAAAAAAAAGGTAAGGCGGAATTAATTGTGGTAGGTCTAACAAAATTTTATTACAGAAGGAAAATCAAATAGGATAATTATATGCATACAGTTCCAGAGAGATACGAATAACGATGAGAAAGAGACAGCAGATTTGCTCACTTCTGAAGCTCCTTCTCCCGCTGTCGCGCCTTGAATATCTTCGGCAGCAGCTCGGGAACGGTGCTCGCCTCGTTGGCGGTGACCGTCGCCTCCACCCACGCGGTGGCCTCCGAGACGCGGCTGTAGACCCCCGGCGACTGGGGGTCCCCGCACTTCTTGCCGCCGAAGGAGACGATCCCCAGGAGCACTCCGTCGCGCACGGCCGGACCCCCGGAGTCGTGCTACGCGAAGAGAAGAAGAGATTCATGTTCAGATGAGCGCACGGGAAGAGAAAGAGAGATTCATGTTTAGATGATGGGATGCGAAGAGAAGGAGAGATTCATGTTTAGATGACGGCAGTCGAAGGGAAGGAGAGATTCATATTTAGATGTCGGCACGCGAAGAGGAGGAGAGATTCATGTTTAGATGACGGCACGCGAAGAGAAAGAGAGATTCGTGTCTAGATAACTCCCAAATGCAGTCGCCAGGGTATTGGCTTCCGCGTTGGAGTCGTGGGATCGATTCCCACACGGGACAACTATTTGTGTGACCCACAGATAGTCTCATTTGAATTTGTGTTTGTAAAACATCCTTACAATACGGGATAGTGTTATCCTAAAGTAAGGGTGTCAGTGTCTAAAAAAATATAAATCTGAAACTACCTAATTACTTTTATAATAATAGATTGTATATGCAAATGTTTTCGTCTGTTTTATTGTTCTCTCCTATAAGTATTCTGTCTAATTTAACATTATTTTCCTCTTCAGCACCATACTTTTAAGAACACAGTCATATTTTGCAAGCTTTTATGTGAGAAGGTGGCAAGTGAGCTGGTCGTTCATTTGCAACACCCGTAGGGTTGCAGATGCGTTGCCACCTTTTAATAATGTGGGCTCCGGTCACCTCACTCAACGGAAGAAACGCATAAATATAACACTTCCACTACACGCCGGTCTTCTGTGAGGGCGGGGCACTTTTCCAGGTGGACCTGCCCGTTCGTGCAACAGCCAAAACTGTTGCGTGGCCCTACCAGAGTTTAACACTTCAACATCACGTCGGTCTTCTGTTAGGGCGTGGTTGAGTCCGGACTTGCCCGTTCGTGCAACAGCGTGGCCCTACCACAGTTGATTCGACTCACATTGCACGCGTCCTTCCCGCCCGTGGCGTAACCAGCGCACAGCATCCTCGGCGTAATGTAGAACCGGTACGCGCGCTGACAGTCCTCCGCCTTCATCGCCGGCACGGGTACGAAACGCAACCGGTCCGGGATGCTGCCGTACCCAGATTGCTGGAATGTGATGAACATAAAGCTTCCATAACTAAGACCTTAATAGAGGCCATTTCACATTTTTCGTTGAGTCGTTTTGATAGTGGCCATTTTCTTTGTTATTGTGGTTAATTTTTGTGCAAACTGGATTGACGGTGCAAGAGACTCACGTCCGTGCTGCCCCATCCGGACACGATGAGTATGTCGTCGGGCTTGATGGCGTATTCCCTCGAAGGGAGGTTCAACACGGCGATGTTCCTGCCGATGGGCATGGGCCTGTCCAAACGTGCGAGCGAGAAGTCGTAATCTGCGTTGCCCGGGGTATAGTTGGGCGGGAAAAACACCTGGGAGCAATTAAGCAATATTTGATAATATAGATGACGCATTACCATACTGAGCGTGGCGTTTAAAAGTTGTTCCGCTTTGCGTTTATTGTTTAATTATAAGTGTATGTTATTACTAGCTGCTGCCCGCGACTACGTCTGGGTAGAATAGGCTGAAGGCGTTATATTCAGACAGAAAGACAGATATACATAAAATATGTTTATAAATTATAGCCTATGTCTTATTCTGATGTATAAGCTATATGGTATTGTAAAGTTTCATTAAAATCTATTCAGTAGTTTTTGCGTGAAAGAGTAACAAACATCCATCCATACATACAAACTTTCGCCTTTATAATATTAGTAAGGATTGTTGTTAAAGTTGTCATCTATCGATCTCTCCAGGTTCCACTGAAAATCAGCAATCGCAAAAATTTTTTTTTGCGATATAATGCAGTGAATGTGACAGACGATGTAGAAAGTATGATACGGAATGAGATAGCAGTCTATATAATTACACCAATTGGTGTAATTTGAACGCCACAATTTCTGCGCGCTAGTGTCATATCTCTGTATATGATATCATTGGGAGCAATGATGTTACAATGATGTTTGAAGTCCATACAGCGTGGCGTTTAAAAATTTTTCCGTTTTATGTTAGACGACATACATAAGTGAACGTGACAGATAATAAAGAACATGTTGTACGGAAAGAGATGGCAGTCTATATAATTACAATTTAATTACACCAATTGGCGTTGAGTGACTCAGTGTCGGTGTGTCAGTGTCATATCTACCTCTTATTTGTATATAATATCATTGTCTAGGTGTAATAAATCGATATATTTATACATAAAGTGATAACTTGGGATCTATTTTTATGAATACTGTGCACGGTTGGGCGTAAGATTTGCTACAGTTAAAGTATATATGGACATTAAGTATAGAAAGCTAAAATTCGTATGCGATATGTGTACAAACATAAAATAGACCATTCATTGTTTACGATCCTTCTGTCAATGGCAAACAGATAATAGTCTGTGGCGGTATTCTAAAGTCAGATTGAATGATGTCAGATAAGAAAACTTCATATTTGTTTCTTTACCATTATTGTGTCATTGGCGATATCATAAGGAACGCCAACTGTCTTAGAAGAAGAAGAAGAAGAAGAACTTCATATTAGCAATTGGCCGATTCTATGGCATATAGAACACAGTTGTTGAGTGAGGTAACCGGGGCGACCTTTTAAAGGGTCGGCTATGCATCTGCTATGCCTCCGGTGTTGTAGATTTCAGTAGCAGTCATCAAGTGAGCCGCCTAACATAGTTTAACGATACTCTGCTTGTATTATCAACGTGATCCATATCTTAGTGGGAAATAAAATTATTATTATATAATTATTACCTTATGCCAAAAAGAGATATAAGAGGACTCTACCTTATTGCGCGGAAATAGGATGTGTATACGAAACAACGATATTAAAGTATCGATTTTTAATTAACAAGTTCTTTTTATAACGAAAAACAAAGCCGACTTTAAATCTCGCTCTGTATTCATTTTATTCATTCATTCATTTGACATTTCATAAGAACGCGCAAGCGTCTTTGTGAATAAATATATTTTTGATTTTGTAATTGATTTTTAGGAGTTCCCTATGTATCTCCGGAGCCCAAGATCCAATACCAATAATTGTGACCGCATGGGAAGCAACTTCAAGCTTTCAAATGAAAAAAGAATCATCAAAATCGTTCCATCCAATCAAAAGTTATGAGGTAACAAACATAAAAAAAAATACAGTCGGATTGAGAAGCTCCTCTTCATTTGATAATACATCGATTATTAACCTATTATATAACATGCAATATTCGACTAAATATAATCGTTTATATATTAAAAATTATCGATTATCACACAGGCCTACCTTATTGATTCTCGACTGATATCCACCACGGTTGTGGAAGGAGCTTCCCGCCCTGACGATGTAAGGCATCAACTTCTTCGGGTCACCGTCGTGAGCTCTGTAAATTATCACTTCAATTTAATGATAAAGCGGCCAAGTGCGAGTCGGACTCGTGCAGGAAGGGTTCCGTGCCACTATCACATAAAAACGACAAAAAAATCATGCCGCTTTTATGTGAGACCCACTTAAATATTTTTTTATTCTGTTTTTTAGTATTTGTTGCAACAGAAATACATCATCTGTGAAAATTTTTAACTGTTTAACAATCACAGCTGATTAGATACAGAATGGTGACAGACGGACAGACAGACAGACAGCGGAATCTTAGTAATAGGGTCCCGTTTTACCCTAGTTTTAAAAAATGCGGGATTCAATCGTAATTTTATTTATAAATTGGCTTACTGTTTATCTTAACGAGGAAGAGCAGGAAGACAATCGAGAAGGGGCGTCGAGTATAAATCCAGGAGTAATAATAGGCAGTAATTAGGTAATTTTATGGAAACCAATCCCGGGTCCGGATTGAGCGTAAATTTTTTTCATGTGTCATGAAATTTATAGTAAAACTACCGGACCCGACAGACATTGTCCTATACACACGACTTAAATCCGACAACGACTTTAAAAAAAATTGTGAATCATCACTCTCTCAAATCGACCTGAAGACACAAAAAAATTTCATTAAAATCGGTCCAGCCGTTTATGAGGAGTTCAGTGACATACTCTCGTACAGTGGAATTATATATATAAAGATATTTATTTTTTACTAATGTTATTTATTATTCGTATTACGTTATTATCTTATGTATGATATATTAACTTAATGACTTAACTAATACCTTTCATCTTAAGTGCAGACATTCTCATTAATGTCAAAATTAAAAAAAGAAAAGATGGTGGTAGTTAGGGAATAGGCCGCCACGCAATCCCACCGCGGTTTGGGAGACGTCACATATCTCCGAAATGTCTTTTCGTTATTACTTATTCCGAAAATATACATATTCCGTCACAATGTTTTCCTTCACAGTTCACGTGGAGACAAACACTTAATTGCACTTAAAAATTCACTGGTGCTGCCACTGGGATTTGAACTTAGGTTGCTCGAGTCTGTTAAATTTGCATCGAAAGCGAGCGGACACTTAGCTATCACTTTTTTATGTGAAAGTCGCCAAGCGAGCAGGCGGTTCACCTGATTTTCAGTGAATACCGCCGCACATGGCTGTCTGCTACACCCGAGGGTTTACGAGAAGCGTTGACAACGTTTTGAAAGTTGGGCTCCGGCTACCTCACTCACCAGACGGAACGCTACTTCCACTTCACGCCGCTCCTCTGTGAGGTTGTGGTACTTACCCGTATTCGTGCATCAGCCGAGGCTGCTGCGTGGCCCTACCACAAATAAAAACGTCTCGAACATCACTCACGATTCCAGACAATGACCGGCGGTGAAGATCCACTGCTCGTCGATGACGGAGCCACCGCACCAGTGCTTCCCGTTCCTGGATATCGCCACGTTATACGGGTACATGTTAATGCTGGTCTCCATGCCGCCGACGATACGGCGCGCCGCGTACGAGCGGAACACCCACGCCAGTTTCTGCTCCTCTTGGGACCCTGAAGTATCTGGACAGTGAAGAAATTTTGCCACTTAATCGTCACTGAAGCATCTGAACAATATTGGCACTTAATCACCAGGAATTGGATTAATAGTTGCATTAATAGTACTGCTTGACGATCATGGCATTGGGTGGTAAATGGATTGGGATTTATCAGCCTTTCCATTTTTGAAGACTGTTCTGTAATCAAACCATATTCGTTATAGGTGAAATCATGTGCGCAATCTGATTTTAATGAGTTTTGAATAACTGTGGTAGCGTCACGCAATAGCTTCTACCATGACACGAATAAGCAGAATCGTCCGGGGAAGTACCAGGGCTTCAGATAAAATTGGCGTGAAGTGAAAGTATTAAGCTTTCGCGTTTCGTCTGGTGAGTGTGGTCAAATTTCTCATTTTTAAGGATTGTCATAGCATCAGCAAGACATTGGATGCTGTAGATGCCCATGGGCAGTGGTATTCATTTAACATCAGGTAAGCCGCTTGACAACTTTTCACATAAACACAAAAAACCTTTCCAATTATTTGTTATGTCCGATTTATCCAGAATATGGTAATCGTTAGTCACTTATAACATCAACATATTAATTTCGCTCAGTAGACTTTTCTATTAACAGCTTTCACGTCTTTATTTCCTAACCATTTTTTCTTAACATTAACTAACCTAACCTAACCTAACCATTTGATTGTCAGGCTGATATGACATTTCATACTGAATTTAATAATGCCCATTGAGCCGTGAACCAGTCACACACCGGATACAAAAGAGCGTGAAATTTGAGATCTGTAAGCGGGGTCTCAAGTCATTGACATGAGACACGAGGAACCCGCGAGTCTATCATAGGCCCAAGCATTTAAGCACCGGACAATCACTGTACTAATATGACAAATTCCCAACGCACCCGTGACCTCTCTCTCGTCCGCCGTGATCCGATACCTGGTCGAGGTCTCGTCGTTCCTAAATTTGTATTTCGCCTCGAGTAACGCTTTGATCTCCTCTCCGCTGTCCAGCTCTTTTTTGGACTCCCTCAACGCCTTCCCATTCGGGAATATATCGTCCACCTGTACGACCTCGAAACCAGCTGCATCCTTCACGCACGATAATACAATACCGATGACTAGACCGCTTTCCGCAAATCCATTCCGATATTTGAACCGTAGTCTCATTTTTACCCTATCTCGATCATTTTAATATCCAGTCGCATTGCAACGTTGCTTCCCTTTACGATTAACTCGCGCAGATGTAAAATGTTTATCGTCTTATTTAACGACCACGTGAATCGTAAAGCCGAATGGGTTTTCTTAGTTCTCGCTTATTTTGCGACGTCTTGTTATGTTCGTACACAATATTAGTTTAGATTTCAGAGCAGTAACTCCGCATTATGTTTCGATGCACTCAAACTTTTTGCGAGGAGTTTTATTTGAACAATTCCTTTATAATTCAAAAAGGTTTAGATCAGTGGCAGTTCATTTCATAACATAAATACAATCACATGCTTTATATCGCTGTTGCACGAATGGTCAGGTCCGTCCGGGTAAGTATCACGACCTCACAGGACACCAGCGTGAAGTAGACGAGTTACTCTTCTGCATTTCGTCTGGTGAGTGAGATAGCCAGGGCTCACTTTATTAAAAGGTGCATCAACGCAGCCCATGCATCCCTAGGGGTGTTGTAACTATCCACGGGTGGCGGTTATCATTTAACTTCAGGTGAACTGCCAGCTCGTTTACCACTTTATCGCATAAAAACATTGTATAGAAAGATCGGAAATACAGATTTGTTATTAAAAATTAGCTATTCATTATTTTATATAGTACATACCCCAAAAGTAAGTGGCGATTTGACGCCCAGCGGTAGAAGGTAGAAATACCATCCTTGGATGTAAGCCTTCTAGTTCAATAACAAAACAGAATCACGGATTTCACTGCCTTTTCTTTTTTTTTAAACCCATCGTTTCGAACACAAAAGACCATAGACAGAGGTTGTTTGTCTTCCTTAAAGAGAGCCTTAGCTCCAGTTATATTTTCCATTGTTTATATTTGATCCAGGTCTTGCAAAGTGGATATTGTGGATTTAAATATATGATTTCCGAGTCTGTAGGCCCGACTATAATTAAGACGTTTTGTTCCTTGTTGTTCCTAAAGAGTTATTCTTAGACGATTCGGGGCATATCTAATCTGATTTGATTGGAGCGGTTTTATTAATACTGTTTTTTTTAATTAGCGTTGTCTTCTTGTGTCTAAGAACGTTATATAGTTGTGTTGGTTTACCTGCCTAATGTAAATTTGTACCGTGGTAAATAATTTCCTATGAAGGTGCTTAATCCCGCTGTTCATTCCAGATTTGGAGTCGGGTGCGAATTTTAATAACAGTTATTTATTATTGAATGATGATAATTTTTATACTGTTATTCTCTGCTCTTAATATGAGATTTAGTTTAGTATAAAGCTTACAATAAAAATTAGTGTCTTTTAAAAATTTTAATAGCAAAGGTCTCATCTGTAGTTTTGAAATATTTCGTTGTAAAATGTTATTTGAGAAAGTGCTTTGCTGTAAAGACAACACTAGACTACGTAGACCATTGTGTTTAATTATTTATTACGTAAAATAATGAAGCTAATAAAGTGCGTTAAAATTTTCGGTGGCGTGAAAATATGTCATTTAGCTCAGAGATTCGAATTTCCGCAGCTGCAAAAAAACTATCTGTTCATTTGGCCAATATTTGCCATGCAATAACAACTTTTAAATAATTCTTCGTAACCTCACTCAATAGACGAAACTCAAATGACAATATTTTTTGTTAATTTATCTTATTGATGTTTGTAACCCGAGTAAAAAAATATACTTCTTTATTAGGCCTTACTACGTGATGTAGATGTAGTAAGTGAGGCCTACTAATATTTTGTTGTCTGTGACACAATAAAAGTATGATATACGTCAGATTTCGCTCAAGATTTTTATACGAATAGAGTGAAATCATGTGTTTCTCATAAAAGTTTTTTTATATTTTTTTTTCTACATTACGTGAGGTGAAATGGCAAATGCGGCTGCTATTGTTATGGCACTATCGTTGCTCATAAATGACGTGACGTTTCTCCATAGACGTAAGTTCAAGGTTTAGTTGATTTTTCTATCATCGAGGCCTTTCTATCCCTAAACCAAACGAGTATACATTTTTTGCATCAACATTTAAGTAATCCATGAAAATTTAAGTAAAAGTGTAGTAACAGCCTATACATGTGCTACTGCTGGGCAAAGGCCACCTCTATACAGAGGGTAACAGGGCATAGTCCACCACGCGGCCCTGCTGCGGATTGGCGGACTTCACATATCTTCGAAAGATTTTTTTTATTATTTCGAACACAGGTTGCTCGAGTATATTGAATTAAAGGCGAGCGCCCGGACGATGAGCTATCGCGGCTACGAAATTTAAGAGTTTGTAATAAATTTATACCAGGTAGCAGGTGTATATATATATTAATGGCTCTGTGAAAGACATGTGAAGAAACTGGGAAAATAAGAGTTAGGTGAACAACGGTGACTTAGTACAAGAAATGTTGTGAGGAAATATGTCATACAAATATGTGATTTATTTATTTATTTAATCTTTATTGCCAACCTTCAGTAAAACAAGGTAACAAAGGGCGGACTTATTGCCCAAAGGCATTCTCTACCAGTCAACTTAGACCCAGATTTACTGAGAGAGGACAGTGTATAATGCACTAGTAATCGTGCGTGAATGCTGAGATGGATCGATTGATGAGATGGATGGATATTCAATCATACCCCTTCGGGTGACAGCCATTTACGTACATGTTTATTCGTGTACATGTACAGTTTGCCGCTAAGTATACTCTTAGGTCAAGGTTTTGATCAAAACAATGATTATATTTGTTTTTTAAACAGCAATGCTCTTACTGTAAATGTGTTTGATTGAAAAGCAGTGTTTAGGTATGATAATAATGTTTATTGTTTTTATGAGATGCACAAACACGTAATTAGAAAGTTTGTGATAACAACTGAAACATAGAATACAACTACAGAGCTGTTATAGGTCAGTATATTGAGATTAAAATATGCAATATCAAAATCGCTAATACAAAACCTGGCCACCTTCAGTTGATTTAATCATCATTAGATGATTAGATCACCTTATTAAATAAATAAATAAATAAATCATAGGCATAAAACAGTAAAACTAGTTTTTGTACATAGCACTGTAGGTTTTTTGATACTTCGGCAGTTTTATTTGGGTTTCGCTATGTCGTTACTTTGTTATTATCTTTTTTTTTATGTGAAAAGTTGCCACACGAGCAAACGGTTCACTTGATGTTAAGTGAATACCGCTGCCCATGGACACTGCTACACCCGATGGTATGCGTTGACAACCTTTTTGGAAATTGGGCTCCGGCTACCTCACTCACCAGACGAAACGCGAAAGTATTATACTTCCACTTCACGCCGGTCTTCTGTGAGGTCGTGGTACTTACCCGGACGAGCCTGCCCATTCGTGCAACAGCCGAGGCTGCTGCGTAGCCCTACCACCGTTAAAATCAAATATCTGATAGAAAAACCTAAACCCAATCATAAATTCGACGTCTGTCTTTTTTTCAGCATCCCTATTAGACAATAAACATTTCTCGACGCAAATTGTTTACATTCTCAGTGTATGCTTACTCCTTCATGCGATGCCTATTCTACCGAAATGTGTTTGGAGAAGGTACACAACAGTCTGTTTCTTGATAGAGGTAACTTACAGTACATCCTTGCATAACTTTACCCGTTGAGACATACACTTGCCTCACGTTTACCCTGTTAGCTTCCATTTTTATATTCAACAACGATACAATATCGGTGAAGCTTTCAAATTCGTGCATTAACAAGACGAACTTTACCCTTTGAGATATATAGTATATAGTTTAATCGATATGTAATTCAATATACAAACAAATAATGAAATTGTTTTGCAATTTCAAGTGATCACGTATCAAGGAAAAAGTGCCATTGCAGTGGAGTCGGGTGGTGTAATACCCTTTTGTGCAGAGTATGCCTAGCGTTAATTTATACACGATAAGACGTATAAATAGTATAAATATAAATAGTATAAATATACTATTTATATCATTTCATTGCTAACCAATTGCGCGTGTTTCTGAATCAATCCAAACCTATATTTATGGTATCCGTCAACCCTTTCAAAACATTTCAGATTGCCATATCATTGGCTGTTCTAGAATGTTCTCTAGTGCACGCGTGGAATTATCTCGAACACTACATGCTGTCTCACGCCGATGACCTCCTGCTGGAATTGACCAACACACCGGACCTCGAATGGCTGGTCTGTCAATTCTGTAGTGGCAAAAGCGACTGCTCGGAAACCTTCGGGTACCTGTTATTGAAGATGCTGAGTTTCTTGCTACTGCTCACCGTCAGTATGAGCATTGCTATAAAGTGAACGTCTATTGTATGATAGTTTGCCAGTTTTAAATAAAAAAAAATCCGGCCGCTCGTAATTTGTTGAACGCTTATTGAAGTTTAATTCCAAATTCTAGTCAAATCAAATCATTAATTCATCGAAATTACTAATATACATTTCGTTTATCGATAGTCATGTTTTAAATCTACCACGGTTTCGTAATGAGGTTCCTCTAACGGAGAAGAAACCGGCGAAAGAAACTCCGTAGTCATTCTCTTTTTTGTCATTTATAGTAAAGAACTAAGTTAGTGAACTGTTCAAAATAATTGTGCGAATAAGGAAGGGTAAAGGGCGACTTTTAAACTTCGTTTTTGAAGTAAAAACTTTGTAACTTCGTTTTCTAAGTGAATACACCCATGCAACCAAAAAATTTTAGACATAATTCGACCATTTAAACGTTTAGCTCAAGACAAATCTGCCCTCAATAATAATCTTAACTTCATGAACACTATGCACAAAATGAAAAACCGGCCAAGTGCGAGTCGGACGCCCGCATGAAGGGTTCCGTACTATTATCTATAAAATGCGGCTGAAAATATTATGTCTGTAGTATGGGAGTCCCACTTATCTTTTTTTTCTTCTAGTTAGTTATTCTTAGTTTAGCTTATTAGTACTTATTCTTATAGCGGCAACAGAACTGCATCATCTGTGAAAATTTCAACTGTAACTATCACGGTATTCAAATGTAACTGTCTGTCCGACAGACAGACAGACAGACAGACAGACAGAGGAGTCTTACGTGGTCTTACGTGGAGTCGTTTTAGGGTGGTAGGGCCGGCCAGCAGTAGCAGCCTCAGCTGTTCGTTCAGTTGCACGAATGGGCATGTCCGTCCGGGTAAGTACCACGACTTCACAGAAGACCAGCGTAAAGTGGAAGTATGACAAATACTTTCGCGTTTCGTCTGGTGAGTGAGGTGGCCGGAGCCCAATTTTCAAAAGGTTGTCAACTCATCTGTAACCCACGGGTGTGGCAGATGTTCATGGGCGGCGGTATTCACTTAACATCAGGTGAACCATCTGCTCGTTTGACAACTTTTCGCATAAAAAAAAGGTCTTAGTAATAGGGTCCCGTTTTACCCTTTGGATAAGGAAAGGTAAATACGGTCATTCATGATCGTATGAAATCACTCAGATATTTTTTTTTATTGATACAGATGAGTTTATTATCTCATGGTGTAATAGAAGTGATATTTTTTAGAAGACCATTTTGTTTACGTCAAAATGAATGAACACACGCCACATTGTGGAAATTACAATGACACGGCAATGCGTTAATATAAAGCAATAAGTCGACGGCACACCTCAAAAAACAAATTTTGCGTAATTGTCCCTCCACCCGGCTGAAATACTGTACACTACACAAGTTTTACAACTGGAAACTCGCTAATAAACAATTAACGCTAAGTGCCGACAACTCGCGTCACGAATAAAATACGCCGATTAAAACAGATCAGCAATTTACCTACCCTAATTGACTTAACAGCGTTTGTTGAGTTTTCTTTTCAACGGAAATTTACTGGCTGGGAGGTTTTTTTTTGAGCTTATTTCTAATTAAAACAAATTTTGGTTGACGTAGGACCGATTAAAAACCAAACGTCACATGTGCGCTTTTTTTTTCTAGTTGATTTACATCAAATGTTTTTAACTGTGGTAGGACCTATCAACTGGCAACACGAATGGGCAGGTCCATCCGGGGATGTACCACGATCTCACAGAAGACCAGCGTGAAGTGGAAGTGTTATACTTCTGCGTTTCGTCTGGTGAGTGGGGTAACCGGGGCCTACTTTAGCAAAAGACGGCGACGCATCTGATAATCTACGGGTGGGGAAAATGTCCAAAAGCAGCGGATATCACTTAACATCGGGTGAACCGCCAGTTCACTGGCCACCTTCTTACGTAAAAAAATACATATATCAAGCTCAAAACAAGCGAGTATGCCCATACTAATGGAAAAAAACGATTGCACGGAAATAGATGACTTACGCCCGGTATATGAAACACTTATTATCGTTGATGTTAACTAATCAGCTGTCAAATAGCTTTTCAAATGCCATTTGAACTGCCAAAAGGATGATTAAACTCTTTGAATTGATCATTCTGATCATTAAGATGATCGCTCTGGTCAATTCAGAGAGTGTAACCAACCTTTTGGCAATAAAATGAATCTTGAAAAGCCATTTGACAGCTGATTACTTAACATCTACGATGATCAGTGTTTCAGAAACCGGGCGTTAATCTAAACATTAAACCAGAAAATTTATAATAGTATCGATAGTATAGAAAACGTATGACATATAATAGTATTTTGAAAACTACCGTATGTCTTGTATTATTTTTAAATTATTTTATAATGTTTTACCGAAATAGTCTCAGCTTACCACGGGCTGCGAAACGCTCGGCACTTGTCAGGTTTTATTCTTTAATATGCACAATAAAAACATGAATAGAACGAACTATTCTCGGTCATAGAGTGATTCGTGCGGGCTTGTCGGGTGATAACGTAATATGCGAAAGGTACTATTTTTTCCATTGCAAAATGATGTATATAATTGAAACAGGAGCGGCGAATGCCTATTTCGCTTTGTATCAACTTCGTGGAAGCAATTATAGAGGTACGTACGTCCAGCAATTACGTCACCGGAGCACGTTGAGTTATTACGGCGAACAACAGTTAAATGGTTCTCCTTTTGAAGTCTTAACCAATAAATCACCGGTAGCAAAAATGCTTTTGAAACATAATTACTTGAAAAGATATTTAGGACTTTTCCAAAAAATTTCTCAGTTTTAACCAGCAAGTTCACCAGAACTGTAAGACACAGCATTTGCTGCACGGACTAAAATAAATAAATTCCAAGCTGACGCTAGCCCAGGTTCCGCTCCAACTGGTTTCGCCTAGTAGTGGCTGAAGGGTATCCATTCAGGGTCGGCCTGTGGTGCAAGAAGGATGAGGGTGACAAGTGGTGGTTGCTAAAAGTAGAGCTCTCCCTGAGTTGTGAGGAGTGTCGGTATAGCGATGTGCTATCCACCATACTCTCCGCAGCTGAAACTTGGTGAGCGGTAGAATGATACAACAGGTCCGAAGTGGGCATTTTTTTAAGTGGGAAATATCCTTTTGGTACCCCTGCCCTGATCGTAGTGGCAGGGTTATGTGGGAGACCCAGTCAGAAGCTATTATACATTTAGGTACATAATTAAAACTGAAATCATATTGGCAATAATATATTAGTGGCTGTAAATTTAATTAATTGAAATTATAAATTATATATTTTCAACACTATATGTAGAGCTTAGGCTCTACACGGCTAACCTTGCACTAATGCTTTATATCTCTAGACGGTGCTCTTTTTTTAATGACTGCATCAAGGTTACGCTCTCAGGGTCAAGCTGAAGCATCCGCTTGATTGCATCTTCATCGAGTTCTCTTAAGACTTTCACTTAACAATATTTCCTATTGTTAAAAGTAGTTCGGCTTATACTACCCTTTGCTTAGTGCTACGCTCTACGGGCTACGGAGTGTCTACGTGTGGTAATAAATAATTTCATTAATGTCTCGTACTGATAAACGATACTTTGGAACAAGCTTATTTATAGAGGGTGGTAAAAGAGCTGGCGGATCACCTGTTGTTGAGTGATAACCACCCATTGACATTTGCAACACCCGTAAGCTTGCACCTTTTAATAAAGTGAGCCCCGACTACCAGACAGACACATCACTGACCAGACGAAACGCAGAAGTACAACACTCACTTCACCCCAGTCTTCTGTGAGGTCGTGGTACTTACCAAGACGGACCTGCCCATTCGTGCAACAGTGAAGACTTGTGTGGACCTTCACCGTAGGTATGTATATAATAACGTAGTAGCATTAAAGTTTGTAGAAAAAGGAAGGAAAAATTTTTCGCCGCTGCGAAAATCTAACCCACGTCTTCTTGATTCGCATTAGCTTAGCGGTTAAAGCTTTTGGACGTGGATCCAAAAGATGTTTGTATTGGTTCGATTCCCGCAGCGGTGGGATAATTTCGCTACAAATTTTAGTATTTCATCTTAAGTGCAGAGCTTAGCCCTATGTGATTTGAATAAAGTAGTAGCATGATGCGATGCAATAGCACGGTCAATTCGCGTGGCGTGTATGTGTCGATCATCAATTTTGGAAGTTTTACATTCTAAATTAAATTGTAATTGTATACGATAATTACCATTTCATTCTCTGCCCAGTTTACAGCGATTGAGTTTACTATTATCTTTACCTAGGAATATAATTATGTGCTAAACTTGATAATACTGGTATATGTAAATAACAAATGAACTTTTAGACTCCAAAAGGTATAAATTGATGCTACCATAATGATGTGACGCAGTAATACGCAGCTGGTTTCATGACAAATGTAGTGTTACTCGCAATAGATATTCTTGGCAAACTGGAACCTATTAAAATGTTCCATTTTGCCAAGAATATTTAGTGTTTGCTGATTATCGGAGCATTAATACCCAAGTAACGAAGTTAATCTGTTTCCTCTCAATTACACCGACGTGATCTGTTCATTATCAGATGCTGGCGGCCCCAAAATTTATATTTTCCGATTCAAGTACATGTAGGAAGGTAGGAATGTTCTAAGGAGTGTGTACCAACATTAAGAGCCCAGATGTTTATTAGTTTTTGCAAAATTAACACGAATTACGTTTAAACTTAAAATTTAGTGAGCTTTTTCTTAACCAAATATCGAATGGAGGCTATTTTCGACTCAGCGATTTCGTGTATATTTGAGTATAAAATATACAGCCCACTTATCAAGAGAGATCGTTGTGATGTCGAGGGTATTACGGCACAACAATGAAAATTGAGGATGGCTGATAATTTCAGAAAATGTTACAAGCAATATCATTTCATTTTTTGTGCTTTTCTTTTGAATTGCTTCGAACCTCTGAATATACAAAGATCTTTACGTAGAGGCTTTTAGAACACATACGTTCACCCACATATAAGCTTGAGACACACGTGTAGATAATTTTGTTTATGTGTTTGTGTGTGTCAAATCGCTGTTAAAGGTCTTTTAAGTACAGAAGGTCAACATTGTCACTAGCATTATTTTGTTGGTGCAACGTTTTCGTCATCTTGTTTATAAGTATGGGAAGTGAATAATGAAAAAAATTGTTGATATGTAATGTATAAAAATTCAGTGAAAGCCTTTTAACATATTCCATATTCATGGTGGTTGGATCACGTAAACAACAGGGTGGAAAAAGGCTGACGAAGAAAATTTATGTTACAGAAATGAGAGGTCAAAAGGCTTTGCAACGAGAGCGTACATCGATCAGATTGACAGTATATAGAGTCGTAAATTGTACCCGTAAGTGGCAATGTAGACGATAGTACCTCTGAGTGAAAAACCTGAACACATAAATATGTGTGTATACCTAAATAGGTATGTATAAGTACGTATATGACATGTTAATATGGATATTTAGATAAGGTGAGGAGAAAACAAAGGTTATTTAATACAGATTACATGTATTTATAAAAATCCATCGGAAATTTATCGCTGTTATACAAGCTGACTAGTACTCAGAGCTAAATCTATAACATTTATAATAATAATAACATGCCGTGTTATGGTGAACTCATAAATATGAATGCAATATTATGTTCTTGTTATCGTTGAGCCGTGATAGCTCAGTGTCCGGGCGCTCGCCTATAATTCAATATACTCGAGCAACCTGAGTTCGATACCCGGTGCCGGCAACAATGAAGTTTTTAACTTTAAGTGCTGACTTATCACGTGCTCCGCGGTGAAGGAAAACATCGTGAGGAAACGTGCATATTTTCTAAATAATAACAAAAAAAAAGATATTTCGAAGATGTGTGAAGTCCGCCAATCCGCAGTGGGGCCGCGTGGTGGACTATGCCCTGATACCCTCTGTATAGAGTAGGCCTTTGCCCAGCAGTGGGACATGTATAGGCTGTTACTTTACTTTTTTTTATAATATGTCCCAAAGCTCAGTATGCCTCTTGGCATGGGCCTCTTCTTACAAATGCCATTTGGACCTGTCACTTGCCTCTCTTATCGATTGAAGTCCAGGCCCGAGTCTCAGATCATCTTCCCATCTTGTTTTTTGACCTCTGCTTCTCCTGCCGTATCTGTGATACCAGTTGGTAACAATTTTACACTATTTCTCTTGGGGATCGCTTCACAAAAATCTATTTAAGTTCATCTATACAGATAAATAAAATTGGAGAGTCTGTTTGTAATATTAAAATAACCGCTATTTACTAAATGCATATGGATGTATACACGGTACATATACCAAAATAACATTTTTTACAAATTTCGTTTGTCTGTCTGTCTGTTTGTTCCGGCTCTCTGAAACGGCTGGACCGATTTGGACGGGACTTTCACTGGCAGATAGCTGATGTAATAAGGAGTAACTTAGGCTACTTTAATTTTAGATTTTTTTTTAATTCCACGCGGACGAAGTCACGGGCACAGCTAGTGTTAAATAAAAGTGATAATTACGAGTATATTTAATACTACTCATTTTAGTGTCGTATACACTAAAGGATAGACTTTGATCGGACCCTAGTATTAATCCAAATGAATCAGGTACAATCAGGCACGTAACCCCTTCATATGCTATTTTTAAACGCAGGGATTTTCAACTTTATCGTTAAGGATTTGAGTTGAATTTGCTTTGCTCAATCGACAAATTCATTGGTTTTTCTGTTCTAGGGCGGGCAATGTAAAAGGGTTACTACGAGGCGTCTAATGCAATTTCTCCGCCAGAAGATTGGAATGGGCCGCTTAATAAGCACTTTTCTTTTTAACGTATGTTGCCAGGTGCTTTGGCTTTTTGTTTATCTGTGTGGCTTCTTCGATTCGTGGGAATACCTTCGAGATATGCTTAGAAGAGATTACAGCGACGAACAGTACAAACGAATGTATTGGTTAGGATCTGATATTACGTATGAAGTAAATTGAAATTTTTTAGCGCTTGTTTGGTACAAAATGTTATATTTATATAATAATAAATTATAATACTTATATTGTATTCATCAACATGCTATGATACACAATAAAAAACGCACTTATTGTATACATATGGATGGATCCACAATAATTTTTTAGTTGTTATTTTTTCAGTTAGCATAAAACAATAACCGAAAAGAAGCACCGCTAGGAAAAAAGAAAACAATAGATATAGGTATATACATACAGTATGCGTACTACAAAACAGTAATTGTTTGCGATGTGAAAAAATATAGTAAATAATTTAATACAGCGTGAAGACAGTATGCAATTACATCGCGTTTCCAAATACCATTTAAGCAACTCTAACATTACCCTATTTTATGGCGTTACGTTGGTATCCTGGCGACATTACTGGCAAACTGTTGCTGGGCGGTAAGGGCGTGGGAGGGAGGGGGGAGAGGGTAGAGCGTAGAATGGCGTACGCTACAATTCCCTACGATAATTTAAGAGGACAGACATAGAGCTGATAGTTTTTTATTTACGGGATAAAAGTAATTTGCAATTGAAACTCGCATCTATTTTATATTCATAAACGTAAAGATTGTATGACTATACTTAAAGTTTTGCATTTTACTTCTTAACAGGTCAACTGAAAGTCATAAATCTATTCTAAGCCTTTATCAAGCTTCTACGTCAAAATATGTTAAGGTTTGATAGAATTGCATTGCGTGAATCGCAGATAAGAAAACTATGCGTAAGAAAACTGAGCCAGGATCACTCAATACTTTTTGGTGTTGCACGAATGGGCATCCGGGTTAGTACCACGACCTCACAGAAGACCGGCGTGAAGTGGAAGTGTATACTTCTGCATTTCATCTGCGTTTAGTCTGGTAAGTGAGGTAAACAGGGCCCACTATATTAAAAGGTGACAACGGCGGTTATCACTTATATCAGGTCAACCTCCAGCTCGCTTGCCACATTCTCAACGCACCTGCAACCGTACGGGTGTGGCAAACGTTAATGGGTGGCGGTTATCACTTATGTCAGGTAAACCGCCAGCTCGCTTGCCACATTCTCAACGCACCTGCAACCGTACGGGTGTTGCAAATGTCCATGGGCGGCGGTTATCACTTATATCAGGTAAACCGCCAGCTCGCTTGCCACATTCTCAACGTATCTGCCACCGTACGGGTGTGGCAAACGTTAATGGGCGGCGGTTATCACTTATATCAGGTAAACCGCCAACTCGCTTGCCACATTCTCAACGCACCTGCAACCGTACGGGTGTTGCAAAAGTTCATGGGCGGCGGTTATCACTTATATCAGGTAAACCGCCAACTCGCTTGCCACATTCTCAACGCACCTGCAACCGTACGGGTGTTGCAAACGTTCCTTGGCGGCGGCTTTCATACCAGGTGAACCACCATCTTGCTCGCTACCTTCCCACGTAAAAGCTACAGCTCTAACGATTTCATATAACACCCCAAGCTAAATACAATCGCAGGGACGCCTCCGCTCTCCAGTTCGCCCCCGTCGTTGACGGCGTGCAGACGTGTCCATAGCCGGGGATGAATACGCGTGGGCGGAAAAAATATCGGAAAACTACGACACACTCGGACACCTCACGTATATGTGAATGGAGCTAATTCGGCCTGAACTTACAAAGTGACGTAACAGGTGTTCCCAAGGACATGGAAAACGTTGAGCGGTGAGTTGTTTTCCCTTTCATTTTCTCGGGCGCTTGCACGATTTTCAGTAAATTTTATCCTCATTGAATTCCAGGACAGCTATGTTATTTTAAGAGAGAAATGTAGTGCGTTTGAGGACAATTGCGAGTACGATATCTGTACTTCACATTTATTTCATGACATTATAAAATTGAGAAACTTAAATGTTTTATTCGTGTACATTTCACATTCAAAAAACTATAAAATTATTTGAAGTTTTGCTTAATCTAATGAATTGTATCTGCTTTTTAAGCTTCCGTACCTAAAGGGTAAGTGGGGCTCCCATACTACAGACATGATTAATTTGCCTTTTTTATAGATAATGGTACGGAACCCTTCGTGCGCGAGTCCCACTCGCACTTGGCCAGTTTTTTTATCACCAATATGTTTTTGAAGGCATTATAGCGTCGTATAACATTACTTTATTGATATAAAAACAAAATAAATGAGAATGTTATTCAATAAGCTCACCAATACAATTATTGCACGACATTTTTTTCTTAAATTGTTATGGTAACTCCTTATTGGTATTTTCAATAAATGCGTTTCGACGGCACAAATAAGTACCAGGCGCTCAGACCTCAAAGGATATGAAATTGCGTTGAATAGTTTGCAGAGTTTATCGCGACCCACGCGCCGGGATCGAGGCGAAATCAAATTGCTCTGAGAGCTTTTCTCGTTGCAAAATATGTGAGGAGTTCTTTTGAGTTATACTCCCCTAATACCGATTGGAGTGTTCTATTTGCGATTTCCTTTGAGATTTTTTTTAGTATTAATAATAATAAATAATTAAATATTTTACGACACATTTTTACACAACGTTTTCTAGTCCCAAGCAACTCTTCTACTGTACTATGGGTATTAGAAAACCAATAAACATGTTTAAACATACTTTCGTTCTGTAAATAAGTACATACATATATAAACACACAGACACTGGAAACGTCATCACACAATATTTTCCAGTAGTGGGCATCGAACCCACACCATGTGGCGCATGAGGTAGGTTTTCTATCCACTACGTCCATCCATTTGGGTAGATTTGTATTATTCCCTATGGTTATGGATAGGTTATGATTATTTGTTTTACTTTCATAATGGACATTCATTGATTATGTGGTACTTTAAGCATAAAATAACAATCAACCCTTTTTTTTTAATGTGAAAAGTTGTCAAGCGAGCAGCTGGTTCACCTGATGTTAAGTGAATACCGCCGCCCATGGGCATCCGCTACACCCGAGGGTTGCAGATGCGTTGACAAACTTTTGAAAATTGGGCTCCGGCCACCTCAGTCACCACACGAAATCCGAAAGTATTAAACATCCACTTTACGCCGATCTTCTGTGAGATCGTGGTACTTACCCGGACGAGCCTGCCCATTCGTGCAACAGCCGAGGCTGCTGCGAGGCCCTACCACCGTCAAACACTTATTTACAAAAACTTAATTAATGATCAGAATATATTGTTTTTGAATAACCACGTATCATATAGTTCGACGACAAAAGAGTTATTAATGGTAGTTTATAATTGAACTTTATGATCGGCAAATGATCAATTTTCATTTGATTCCTATACTCTCGGTCTATTGGCTTAATGTGGATACAAACGCACTAACGAAGAAATGTTGCCATTTATAATTAGGATAATAGACTCACATTAGGAATGATGGGGCAAAGCGCTTGAAGTAACGTAGTAATATAGCTAAATTTAACATGATAATATAGGGGTTTTTTTCATATAATTACTGTTTCTTTGGGAGAATTTGGGAGATCGATTTTTATAGAGATAGTAGCGGACTCGACAACAACCAATAGATAAAAAAATAATAAAAAAAACCATTTCGTACCGATTTGTGGATCTGTAACAGTCTTCACTTAAATAACTACGAATTTAAACCATTCTCGAATCCACTTGAATATATACAAAAAATTTCATCTTAACTTTCTTTCTTTTAGGAGAAGTTCAGTTACATACGTGTGTATTGTGCATCCCATAATTTTTTTTGTCTATTGTTTATATTGTGTATCTTTTTACGTGTGGTGGACAATAATATTCGCTGTTGCATGAATGGCCAGGCTCGTCCGGGTAAGTACCACGACCTCACAGAAGACCGAAGGGCGTAAACTTGGAAGTTACGCTTCTGCCTTTCGTCTGGTGAGTGAGCCGGGCTCACTTTATTAAAAGGTGCCATCGCATTTGCAACCCTACGGGTATTGCAAATGTCCATGGGCGGCGATTATCACATAGCATCAGGTGACCCACCAGGTCGCTTGCCACTTAAAACACACATAAAAAATCATTCATTCATTTATTCACGTACAGCAGAATTATATATGTATAAAGATAATATTAGCTGACTGTGACAGTGATGATGTGAATGCATTATACACGATAATGATTTTGGACTGCAATCCCCATAACGCGCGCGATATTTCTTTAGATTTTCTCTCGTGACAAAATCTATATTTTTCAATCTTGCTCTTGGAATAGCCAGGCGCTGTTTTGGGTTTAAGTCTTTTAAGAGAAGGCGTTCTTTTATCTAGTAAAAGTTAATAATGATAGAGAAAGAAATTTATCTAATTGTCCATCAATATATATCAACAGCTACCTTTTTTTTTTTCGATGGGAAATGCGTTATGCATACTCTCCTGCGGGGGAAGCAAGGAGAGTTATGTTGGACACCCTTAAGGGCAGACCTACCAACTAAAGCCCATCGGGTGTCCTCCTCTGCCGTCAAATGCTGGGTTGCAGGGCCCGCTAAAGCGATTCTGCCGATATATCAACAGATACCTACTCGAAGTGGTCCATGTTAATTAGTTAGAACTCAAAAGATATTAGTATGTTTACGGCGTCAAGCTCACTATATATGCAATAAAAGAAGGGATGAAAGTCATACGACTAGAAGAGTGATGAGTATGAATGAAGGCTGGAGGAATACTGAGAGAGATTTGGAAGAAATGTTTGAAAAATGTTGTCTCTATCAAAGGGTTGAGTATTGAGATGATGACTGATAGAAATTGAAAGGAAAAGAGATGTCGTTCCCACACCACCTAGTGTGTTATTAGCACAGGACAAAGAAGAAGAAACCTATAAATATATTATACTGGACATAGAGATATATATGTCAAGATATACATATCTCTATGACCAGTATAATATATTTACAGCGTTACAACGCTGTGTGTCCACGTATACTCATAAATTAGAAGACATTTGCCAGTGAGAAATCGTCAAAAAAAAAAATAACAGTCTTATTTGTCTTTGGCTCACAGCCTGAGACAACCTCGCTTCCAGCTAGCGTTATACGAGTATTGTACAAACTATTTCAACGGAGAATCGACATACTTACCTCCATTGACCACCACCGCTCTATTTTTAGGATCACGGTATAAATATCAAAATAGCGTGGCCTCAAGCGTCCGTTAATAATTGATACCTCCAAGGTTTGGATCTATATAACTATGGGACGCATAAAACACGGTCGCAAAGATTTTGCCATTAATATCTATTAGTTATCTCTCGTTTAATGTAATGCTTAATCTTTATTTGTTCGTGCCATTGAAGGTGTTGTCAGATTTATTATTTCAGTAGTTATGACAGCAATGCTAGCTCAGTGCGCCTAAGGCGGTTAATTAGTGGATTTTTTAGTTGTCGCGCATTTCGCCTCTCGCCCCTTCGCGTCGGCTATATTGTGTAAAAATCATAATAAATGCCTGGCGTGATAAGTTTTATAAGACTAAAAATCATCTCAGTTTAATATTAAAAATATTATGTGTATTATATTACAGATATTAAACAGAGTAAAATAAAAAAATAATAATAAAAAAAACCACCATACCATACAATATTTTTGCCATTTTTATAGATAGTGGTATGGAACCCTTCATGCGCGAGTCCGACTCGCGCTTGGCCGGTTTTTTTTTTTCAAATCTACCATTTCATCTTCATTCCCAAACAATAGATGGGGTCGGAATAACAGAATCATGTTGTTCGTGGTATTGCCTAGACTGTGTCGGGTTTTTGAAACACTGATTTATTTATTTTTGATTCTGATCATGGTAGAAGTCAATTAATCAGCTGTCAAATGACTTTCAAAATGATCTTCTTCATGACAGAATGATCAATTCAAAGAGTTTCAAGAGTTTCAACGTTGTAAGTAGTTTAAATAAGTCACGATAATAATTAACGTCTATTACATCATTCATCAATTTTTACGAGGAAGGAAGCCGCGGTAACGTGCTAAGAACGTCTAATGAGGCGAAGTGTCATTTGGGAAAGTTCCTCGCAGTTCAGCAAAGCTTCTCGCTTGGCTTTGTTCACGAGCGGTGGTTTTCGAGCGTTCATTTTTACTTCAAAGTTAACCCTTTTAAATGCTAGAAATGAGAGAGATAAAACTTTTTGATATAGATAGAGTCGTGGTAGCTAAGATGCGTTGTGTTATGATATTAGAAAAATGTCTACGTTCTCAATATGATACATCATCGTTTTTTTTAAAGTGAAAACTTCTTTACGGTAAGGGACTTTTTGGGTGAACAAAAATCATGAAAGTCGCGTCATCAACGCCCACCGTATCGCCGTGGCAACGGCTGGAGCGTCCTATATTAGATAACGTGTAACTTAGAGTCACGCGCATATTATAGTGTCCGAGCCGAATTTAGGAAAATACTTTAATACTTATAATTTCCCGGGGGGACGGTGCACCCCTTGAGACAATGCCCGGGTCATGTGGTTCGATTCCCCGATACCCGTACCTGCGCCTGTCCGACTCCTAGGGCAGTGTAGATGATCCCTGGTGGTGTTGGTGATCGCATCATCAATGCAGCGTCAACTGAACCTGCTGCCGTAGTGGCTGGATAAATGGCGGATGTCTGACAACGTCGACAAGATGTCCGCCATCTACATCCGCCACATCATCAACCAAGCCACGCTTGAGCTGCAAGGTCAAGCGATCAAAAACCAGAGCACCATCAGTTACCTTGGG